TTATTATTATTATTAAATACATAACATGCTATTTCTTAATTACTCTCAAGTAATCTACTAACTTTCCTTATTTATTCTCAATTAATAATAAGCAATGCATTCCTGGATCTGAACCACTGGGTATGCAAGCAGGAGAAGCTAAACTCTTCCCTTCTTTAAACCTTTTCTTATGTCTTTCAAACTGTATTAGTGTAATTAGAGGGTTTCCGAGCTTGCTTGCTGGCTTGTTTGTTTAGGAAGATGTCATGAGGTTGTAATGGGGATGGAATATGCCTCATACTCAATGGTCCTGATCTAGACCAGGAATGCCATCCTATATTCTTTTTTTTTGGGGGGGGAGGTATTTTAAACTGCATGTCACACATTTAATGTACTGAAAGTTTAGCCCTTAATGTGCTTCAGAGCTTGAAAAAGTTACTTTTTGCAGACAACTTGAAGAATACCCTAGCAGTCATTCTGGGTATTCCCCAAAATGTAACTTTTTCCAAACTGCAGTCAATTGCAGCAAAAAACAACAACAGCCCACTAAGGGTCTTGTGGCACCATTAAGGACAAATGGATTTATTGTGGCATCATCTTTTTCTGGATGAATGCCCACTTCATTCGATGCATGGAATGCTGTCCTGAGTCAAAGAGCAAAATTACATTTCTCTGTAGGATCAAGATGTGCACAAAGGTGACAATGGACGACTTCCTGACAGCACACCACGAGATGGGCCACATTGAGTATGATATGGCTTATTCTCACCTTCCCCTTTTGCTAAGAGGTGGTGCCAACGAAGGGTTCCATGAAGCTGTGGGAGAGATCATGTCACTCTCTGCAGCCACTCCAAAGCACCTGAAATCCCTTGGCCTTCTAGAGCCCACCTTTCAAGAAGACAATGGTGAGTTTTTTTCTTAAGGTCATGTACATTGTTGCCAATCCTAAAGGTACAGGACACACAAGGTGAAGTACTATTACAGTGTTAAAAAAAAAAGAACTTGGAGAGGGGGGATTTTCAGGGTTTGGGCCCAATAGATTTTCTTAAGAAAATACAGCACTGGAATTTTTTTTTCGATTTTATAATGATATCGGTTAGGCCAGAGTATGAAAGTAAGTTGTTAAAAGAAACAAACACTACTTGTCATTAAATGTTATTTTGAGGAATATATTGTTGCCTCTACTTCCCACTTTTGGCTGTTCTGGCCACGATCCTGTCAATTACTGATGCATGCACAAGAGCAATCATGGGACCTGCATTAGCAAAATGTCGACTGCTTATCAGTCATACGCTTAATTGTACACCTGAATGTGCACTGGACCCATGTCTGGCACATCAGTTGTGATTAGGCATAGTAACTTCTGCTGATCTTCTTGTACGCATGTAAATATCAAAAGGATTTTAGCTATTGGTGGAGTTTCGGGTGTTGTTGAAAAAGAATGAAAGGAATGCATATTGTATTACTTGCTACCTATAAGTGATAAGTAACGTGTTAGTTGTAAAAATTAATGGCCAACTGATACATTGCTTTCTTGGGTAATGATTCTAAGCTCTGGATTAGATGTGCTGGCCAATATCCTGTTGCACTGCATAATTGTGAAAGGTCGATCAGGTAAGCATTTCTCCCTGCACTGGCAGGGTTCTCTTTCCATGCCCAGTTTTTTGCCCCTTGCTAGATTGGCTATGAAATGTGTTCTTTTATCAGACATACAAGAGTCTGCTGCAACAATGAAATGTTTTATGCTTTAATAGGATATCTGGACACTGTGTTTCACAAAGTATAGTTTGGGACAGAGCAAATTAAAGATTCCCCCTTTGTGTCTTATTTTCTAACTGTTCCAGATTGCTATTTTATCTGAAGAAACTATTCCCATACAATCTCCCCCTTCCTTGTTAATAAAAATAGCAAAACTAAGGGTTATTAAGGAAGTTAAAGGGACTATTTATAATTCTGCACTTTCTGCCACTCTTTATAGGGAAGCTTTCTTCAGGAGTCAGATGTACCTGACCCCAGCTTTTGGACTACCCTGCCCCAACTCCCCCGACCCTCATTCCAATTTTCTTTTTTTACATTATTTAAACTGAAAAGCCTCCTTATGCCTCTAGGTGTCAATTAGAAAAATAAAATAAAATTTGGAGCTGTGTGGGGATGCCATGAATGCTTGATGGCAAACTGCCCTAAACAGTTGGAGGGCACAATGGGAGGTTTTGTGCCAAAAAGATAGCAGCAAACACCAGCAACAACAACAACAATGAAAAATTGGAGGCCGTGGATCACTGCAAATACAGCAGGTAGCAGAGGAGGAAAAAAGAAGCCTTAATGAGGAGTATCTCAGTACAAGCAGAGAAAAATTACTTAAGGCAGTGAATATGGAGAATATTTTTAAAACAACAGAAACAAAGACTTAATATAAGAAACAACAATTTGAAAAATAAATTAAACTGTTGGAAAAATAAATCACTACACGGAAAAAAACCTGAGAAATATTGATAGAAGGCATGGCAATAATTCAGCATGGGCATGGCAAAATTGGGGACCATTAAGAAAGAAACTGAAGGCTTGATTTTTGCTGAATAAGGACAATCACTCCAAAGCAATGTGATAAAGGCTAAGATTCAAGACATTAGTGCTAACAGCAAATGTTGACTCTTCCAAGAAAAAGATAAAACTGTGTAATACCTCATCTGTGAAAGTCCAAATACTGCACAAACAGATTACAAAATTAGACATGATAGAGTGGCAAAATTAGTGCACTGGATGTTATGCCAAAAACATAAACTGCCAGCCTCCAAAAACCAGTGGAAACATCAGGCAGAGGTGTCAGAAAATGACACAGTCAAGATTTTGTGGGATTTCCAGATTCAAACTGATAGACACCTTGAACGTAACACACTAGCCATAGTAGTAATAGAATGAAGAAATGCCTGGATCACTGATATTACAATTCCAGAAGACGCCAGAGCTGAAGATAAAGAATTAGAAAAACTAACAAAATACAGAGATTTGGCAATTGAAACATCTCACTTCTGGATAAAACACAATTCAGTGGTCTTTGGAAACAATATCAAGAAATTTCACACAATATTACAAGCAGTCACAGATCTCAGAAATAACACCATCAGAACTACAAAGAAATGGCAATATTAGGAACAGCATACACATTTCGCTAATATTTAACAGATACTTAGGTTTTTTGGTTAAAACATGTATCTGTTATATAACACTGGCCAATGTTTTTATAGTTTTGATTGACTCTGCCTGGCATTTTTTACTAATAGTCATTGTAATAGAATAATGTTGTTATTATTATTATTATTATTAGTAGTAGTAGTAGTAGTAGTAGTAGTAGTATGGATACGCATAGAATACTGAGCAAATGCACCTGGGGCACAGAGCCCACATGTCTTCCATCCCTGTTTTGGAGTTGCAACTACAAGAAAACGTAGAATTATGCTGCCCCAATAGTTTACACCTAGCCCTATCAGTCAACAACTTTGGTTTCGCCCTCAGAAACGGATATCAATTTCCTGCTCAAGCAAGCCCTCACCATTGTTGGAACTCTGCCTTTCACATACATGCTAGAGAAATGGCGGTGGATGGTGTTCTCTGGGGAGATCCCCAAGGATCAATGGATGAAGAAATGGTGGGAGATGAAGTAAGTACTGTAAAAAAGAACGGTTAGGACAGGGAATGGAAAGATATCTGTCAGATAAACACACACAGACAAACAAACAATGATTCTTATTTACATGTGAAATATGTTTTAAGAAATAGTTATATGAGCGATTGTTCCTCAAGAATGCTTAAACTAGCCAAATGTCTGGTTTTACAAATAATTTTATTTCTGTTGTAAATGAATGTGTTCCAAATAGGTATGCAACAAGTACGAAGCCCTTTCTTCTGTGGGGGTGGGGTGGGGTGACTGACTTGTATGGATAACCACTATAAAGGCTTTTGTAATACCTTACTTTCTCTCCTGTTTGGGGTGCATCAAATAACAGCTGAAGCACACTTCTGTGGCCCAAGAGGTGAAAGCCAAATTGGGCAGGGTCCCTTTTAATAGGGGACCAAGGCTAAGGGCAAATAGTAAGGCCAAAGCTAAGTGAACATGGCCAGATACCAATGTGGACATCTTCCCACTAAGCATGCAAAGTAGAGCCATCTTTTATGCAAATTCCTGAGCTGCAGACGGGACCTCCTTTTCAGGCTGAGCAGCTCCTAGGCTGCAGACCAGAACTCTCCGGTCTGAAATGGCTTCTTAATTCTGATGAGTGATGAGAGATAACAGAAAATATATCTTGTGAAACAGATGCTGACCAGTTCTCCTCCTTTAAAACTGGTTTCCTTCTCAAATCTTGAAAGAAATCCTTGCCACTTGTCTTTCCCCCCAGGCGAGAAATAGTCGGTGTTGTGGAACCGTTGCCTCATGATGAGACATACTGTGACCCTGCAGCTCTCTTCCATGTAGCCAATGACTACTCTTTCATAAGGTATGTCAAATAGCCTTGCATTTGTTGAAAAACAGCCCTGACAATTGCTTTGTGTTCGGGTGAGAAGTGATTGACTGATGAAAAAAGGAGTCTGAGATTTTCCCCTCCTTGGGGTCTCTTGGTGAATGGCAGTGAGCAGAAGAGGGTATCCTACCATCTATTCTCAATGGAGGATATATGGCCCTCTGGGGAGCCTTGGTACATCTGAAGGGGGGCCAGGCAAAGACTGGAAACAATTCTTCACTCACCACTTTATGAGGTTAGGCAACATATTGGGATGTGGTGGCGCTGTGGGCTAAACTGCAGAAGCCTCTGTGGTGCAGGGTCAGAAGACCACCAGTCCTAAGAGTGAATCCACGCGACGGTGTGAGCTCCCGTAGCTTTGTCTCAGCTCCTCACCAACCTAGCAGTTCGAAAGCATGTAAATGCGAGTAGATAAATAGGTACCATCTCGGCGGGAAGGTAAAACGGCACTCCCTAGTCACGCTGGCCACATGACAACGGAAACTGTCTTCGGACAAGCGCTGGCTCTATGGCTTGAAAAACAGGATGATCACTGCCCCCTAGAGTCAGATACGACTGGACTTAAAATGTCAAGGGGAACCTTTATCTTTATGCAACTTATACAATCCTGATTTAGCCAATATTTCTTTCATAATGTGCTTACTGCCATGGCCAAAAAAAGGTTGAGAAGGGCTGCATGTAGACCATTTTGACCACTGACATGGATATCAGCAACATTGAGGCTGCCCTTTGTTATCTACATCTTGGCATATATATTTTTTTCCTGCTGGCAATGCAGGCACAATCTTATGCAGCAATATCAGGCTATTTCCTGACATTTTGAATTGTGAATACAGCACAATATCCCACATTCCTACACTGGAGTCTTTAAAAAAAGATTTAAATTCTTATCCTCATTTATCTTACTCTGAGTGTTATAAAAATACCCTCAGTATAGATTTATTGGAATACAATATATGGGACTTGTAAATGGATTCCAAGCATTCTCCCAAACAAACGTTTTCTTCTTTTTCTTTTCCAGCTGACATTCCACTTTCTACAGCTACTAAGCATGCACAGTTTTTCACTTGTCTGTGCTTTTTCTTCTTCTGCAAATTTGGGATTCCCTTAGGCAAGCTAATTCCACCTGCTTGTTTCCAGAAGCCCATCTGGACTGCAGTCCTGTCAGCACAACTGTCAGAATTTCTCTTCAGAAGGCATGATTTATTTTTCCATGTCAATGCCAGGGTATTTCTTATTAAGTTTAGAGAGACTCTATAGTGATGACCAGGAAAAGCAGACACTTCCAGGCAGCATTCTCTTTTTAGTTCTACCTCCAAGCAGTGCATTTCCCCTGAGAAGCCATCTGACACTGGAATTTTGATCACTCTGCCTGTGTTTTTATTACCTCAGCCCTTCAATTGTTTCATTTAGTTTTGTGCCCCAAATGTTTCTATGGGGATATGACTCCCTCCCTTCCTCTCTTCCTTATAACTCTCAAGGAAGTCTTGACCATTCTGATGTAAATGATATCTGAGGACTCCTCCCTCAGCCTGTTTGGCAACCATTTAATTACACACTGGATTTAGATCCTTTCTTTTCTTTTCTTTTTCTTTTTCTTTTTTCTTTTCTTTTCTTTCTTTCTTTCTTTTTTTGCAGAACTGGAACACAAGGCAACTCAAAACAATTTTTAAAAGAAGCAGAAACAGACACAGATGAAATAATGTGGCTAAAATCCTATTGGGTTGTTAATGCCTGCATAATTGGCATAAATCTCATTGGCAAATTGTTGCAAGTTTAAAAATTAGTATAGATATTTGCTCTTGTACACCATGTTCCTGTACTGAGCAGGGGGTGGATTTGATGGTCTTCCAACGTAATGATTCTATGAGTCTAAGTTGCACAACCTAGCACAGCAAATGCCTACGCCAATGCCTTACTTCTGGCAATTCACCAAAGAGATTTACACCAGTTTCATTGTGCCCATAGATGTAACTAATAGGATTTGGGCCAGTAATGTATTCTATCAAAATGCATTAAACAATTGGTAGAATTAAAACATAGATGCATTGAAATACCATTATGTTATAACAATCCAGTTTTCAAAGACAGTGCAAGACACCTAACCATTTATTTATATTTTTAACTGACACCTCCTCTTCCCTGAATAGACCATTTTACTTAGTCACTGTGCAACTTTCATATGTAATGGTTTGAAAAAGGAAAGCTGGGAAGAATTAGTTATTTTGAACTATAGACCCCAGCCAGCAAGAAACAAGACATTTTTACCCGTTCTGCCAAACAGATCCTGAAAACAATGAAACTGTACTAACAGAGCTGAATCACAATGGTTTGAGATGTCAGCAACAAAACTGTTGGATACAACAACTCAAGTCTGCTAGAACCAGCCATCTCATTAGCTTTTAGAGAGAGAAATATTCTGTGCCATCAATGAAACAGCAGTGAAGCAAGTGGGTATGATCAGCATAGGGCTTTTTCATTACTGTAGCTGGCTATTCATGTTGATGGTTTCCCGCCCTTCTCTCTCCTCCTTTTTAGATATTACACGAGGACCATATATCAATTCCAGTTTCAAGAGGCACTTTGCAAAGCTGCTGGCTATACAGATGAGCTTTACAAATGTGATATCACTAATTCCACAGCAGCCGGTCACACGTTGCGGTAACACTTTCTACTGTATAATTCTCTGAACAAGTATAGTGAAAGCCATCCTTAGTGTGCCCTCACATCTGGGTAGAAGCGCAGTTGGCCTCCACAACAAATCCTGGCTGTTACTTCTAGACCTCGGAGGTCTACATTGTGTTACCATTATAACATAATGAGGGATAACTTTGCTCCCTTCATGCTGTAAAAGTGCAACTGTAGTTACTTTTCTAATTGCAGGGGCATAGCCCCTAACTCCTTCTTTACATGGAACAGCTTGGGCCCACTGCATACGTTACAGATAACCTGTCATCAGAGCTCCAGAAACATGGTTGAAGCAGGTTTCCATGTCTGAGAAATAAGGTTTGCAGACCTATAACATCCTTACATTCCAAAGACCGGTCACTAAACACATCAAGCTGGTCTGCAAACTCTGGAAGATTAAAAAAAAAGCTATGAAAAAAAATCAGTACTCAAGGAATTCCCTCTTCTATATCATGGGTTATCAGTAACATGTAATTTGGCATGAAATGTTTCTCTTATGGTTTAAATTGAGCTTCTTGTGGACACACAACAGCATGAAGATGGATGGTTCTTCATGGGGAAGAGATTTTCAGATTTTCAGAATTATAAATACCGTAATTCCCATTCTAGGTATTCTATCTACTTTGCAAGCATCTCAGAAACACTCTGTGTGATGCCTCAGGGAAGAATGCCTAAATTAGATGGCTTTGAGGCTTAGCTAGGCCAAGCTCCACCCAAACCTCTTTCCCAGAAAGAATGTTCCCAGTTAGTGTTCTAAGTTCCTAGTTCTTACCTGTCAATTTAGTTTCTTCTTCTAATCATAGGGACATGCTTATGCTAGGAAGATCGCAACCTTGGACAAAGGCTCTGGAAAGTGTGACAGGAGAGAAATCAATGAATGCATCAGCATTGCTTCACTACTTTCAGCCCTTGTATTTGTGGCTGAAAAAGAACAACACCAACAGACTTATTGGTTGGGATACAACATGGAGTCCATGTAGGTACCTGTTATATTTTTAAAACCAGATAGCCCTCTTTTTCCCAAAAGCTGGCAAATTGTGATACACAGAGTTTTGCAGCTTCATCTTCTCTGAAATTACTAACACTTCACCCACCCCAGACCAAGGCAGAGAAAGCTGAGTCTACATGGAGCTCCAACAGCCAAAAATTGCCTTTGATCTAGCTAGATGCTAATTGGCAATTTCCACCTCTTCTTAAAATTCATTTTTCCAAAGAAACCTAGCAACCATCTGTTGCAGTGTTGATTGGAGGGTGTTGGAAGGAAGGAAGGAAGGAAGGAAGGAAGGAAGGAAGGAAGGAAGGAAGGAAGGGGTAAAAAACAGTGTTTGAGATAAGGGACACTCAGCTGAGGAGAACAACTCTTTCCAAGGACCTCTTTGTCTTTGGAGCAGACAATCACATTGGGCAAAAAGTGGACAAAAGTGACACAAGCCCAGTCAGAGCACATTTAGACTACTCCTAGCTGAACGACGACAACAAAAAAGGCAATTCCTCACTGAAAAGAGGCCCTTTCCCAGCAGGCTTTATGTCATGTAGGCATTGATTTTTAATTCAATTTCATTTGTGCCTAACGTGATGCACACTGCAGGGTAAATGGGCTGGTAGTTGTCCCTTCTGTGTGAAATACAAAGCCAAATGCTTGATCAATAAACAACGTAATTTCAGGTCACATAAACACCCTGTAATAGATGATGGAGAGTTAGAGACACTATATAAACCATGTCTATTGACTTGGGTCTATTGAGAGAGAGAGAGAAGCGGTAGTAGTTGTGGAAAACAAATGTGTTATGCTAAACAAACTATTTATTTGCTTTGCTGCTCTTGCCTTCTGGAGAAACCAAGGGGGCATGAATGAGCAACAATGCAATGATTAGGAACAACAATAATTCTTTCAGATTCTGGCTTATCAGGATACGTAAATGCAGCTACAGTCTGTTCAACTAATCTGACCGACCATCCTATGGATTACCTCTCTGCTAGCTTTGTACCCTACCAGGTGCTCCTTGTTGATGAATGAAACATACCATAGCAGCAAGGTGTACGGTACTGATCCGTCACCAGAAGCAAACACAGGGAGACAGAAAAGAGAAAAAAGGTTCAGCCTGACTATCAGTATACAGGCAGTGCTTTTGCAGCATTAGTTGTGTAGTAGGTATTCAAGATAAGTTTAAATATTTGTTTTACAAGATTGTGTGTGTATGTATGTTTTTTTTTCTTTTTTTAAAAAATCTAGACCTTGGCAACGCAATCAAAGTTAGGATTAGTTTGAAGGCAGCAATGGGGGACAATGCGGTGAGTAGACTGATATAAAGATGATATTATTGTGTTTTCTAAAATAACATGAAAATATGTAAGAAGTGATATACTCCGATGCTCGCTCACTCTGAAGTAAGCCTCTCTGTGTTCAAACTGACTACTCCTGGGACAGATTATTCAGCATCTGAATCATAAGCAAGTGTATCTAAATCAGTGTGCTATGGTTAATATATGGATTCTATGTAATAATACTCTGCTTTTTATAAACAATGGCTATTTGCTTTTTTTTGCACTTGGGGATAGGAACACATAAGTAGGGGTGTGGAAGCACTTACAAATCCTATTAATCTCAATGAGAGACTGAAGAAAATGCAGATTTTCCTCCCACTATAATCAATGTGGCTTAAAATGTTTGTTTACATTCCTAAACTGCCCCATTAGTGCTGCCACACTCTGATCAGTTCACAATATGCAATAAAATGATACACTAAAACATATAATGAATTAAAAAATTGCAGTGAAATGCAATGGATCCTGTCACTAATTAAAATGACCTTTAAATCAAAATAGATAAATTAAAACTCATTTGAACATCTCAAGACAATATTCACAGTAATAGAAGGCAGTTTTATATAATTCAGTCTTAATTATCTTCCTGAAACCAAAGAAGGGCAGTGCCTGGCATACCTCTCTTGGAAGCTTATTCCAGAGGGAAGGGGTCATAACAGAGAAAGTTCAGTTCCTAGTCTTGGCTTTTTTTGGGCCTCCTTGCATGTTACAATTCATAACATCAAGGACTGCAAGGAGCATGTAGAATGCATAGCTATTTTGTAGGAGAGATATTCTGCCAAATATCAACGTTCCAAACTGTTAAGGGCTATACAGGTTATAGCCAACACCTTAAACTGAATACAAAAATTAACAGAGAATCAATGAAGGCCTGCCAAGACTGGAGATATGTGTTCATCTATGCTGGTACAAATCAGTCTGGTTGCTGCATCTTGTATCTGCTGACGTTCTGTTACTGACTTCAACAGTAGTCCTATGTAGAGAGCATTACAGTGGGATATTTTGGAGATCCCCCAATGCATGGACCACAATTGTTAGGTGTTTCTTATCCAGGCAGGGGTGCAGCTGGGCAATCAATTGAAGATGATAAAAGACACTCTTGACCACAGCAGATATTTGCACCTCCATAGAGAGAACAGGGTCAAAGAGTAACCCCTGAGAACCTGATCTTTAAGGGGGAGTGTAACACCATCAAGGGGAGGACTTACTTTAGTAGAAGGGTGTTTTTTTTGTGTGCTGATGTCTTAGTTGTATGTTTCATCGCTTAGTTTAGTAGAAGGGTGTTTCTTTTTTGTGCTGATGTCTTAGTTGTATGTTTCATCGTCGTTTAGTCGTTCAGTTGTGTCCGACTCTTCGTGACCCCATGGACCAGAGCACGCCAGGCCCTCCTATCTTCCACTGCCTCCCGGAGTTGGGTCAAATTCATATTGGTTGCTTCGATGACACTGTCCAACCATCTCATCCTCTGTCGTCCCCTTCTCCTCTTGCCTTCACACCTTCCTAACATCAAGGTCTTTTCCAAGGATTTTTCTCTTCTCATGAGATGGCCAAAGTATTGGAGCCTCAGCTTCAGGATATGTCCTTCCAGTGAGCACTCAGGGTTGATTTCCTTTAGAATGGATAGGTTTGTTCTCCTTGCAATCCAGGGGACTCTCAAGATCCTCCTCCAGCACCACAGTTCAAAAGCATCAATTCTTCAGCAGTCAGCTTTCTTTATGCTTTGCTGGAGGTTATCACTCTTGATAAAAAAAGACTTGGTAAATCTCTCTCAAACTGATCAGTTGATCCTCCCAACAGTAGAATCATCATCTGATCTGGATTAAGTTTCAGAGGAACAGAAGGAGAGATAGAGCTGTTTATTATCTGCATATTGATGACAATGAACTCCAAATTTCCATAGGACTTATTGCAGTGGCTCCATATAAGTGTTTAAAAGCATTGAGGAGATGGCCAGTCTCTGTGGGACCCAGTAATATAAGTTCCAAGGGGCAGACAATGCTTCCTGAACCTGTGCCATCTGGGATTGGCCCTTAAAGAGGGGAACCGCCAAAGAATGGAGCCCCCAAGTCTCGAACGCAATAGTCATTCCAGAACAATACTGTGGTCGGTGGTATCAAAAGCCACAGAAAGATCCAGGAGGACCAGAAGAGTTGCACTCCCTCCCGTCTGTTTCCCTCAGGAAAGTGTCTTGCCATTTCTGCCCCATGGCACAGTCTGAACTTTGAGTGAAATGGATCTCCTCCAGGAATGCCTGCATACTCAACTTTAGTAAGACTATAATATCTATGAAATCTATCTACAAGTCATTCTCTCTGTTGGGTTTTAATGTACAGTTGCAATATATAGTGGATGTGGTAATAAAATAGGCCATTAAGCAAGGAAAGGAAGAAAGTCAACCTTGATGGAATCCCAGCTCAAAACCACCAAGCTGTGCCAGTAGTCTGTACAACGAAGAGACAGGTTAATGAAGATTCAAATCAAGGAAGGCCAATTTAAATTGGCCCCAAAACTGATCCCCTAAAAGCATTATCAATTATTTAAAAGCCATGTGAATGGCAAATATGATTTTATGTTCAATAATCATAATGGTTTCCTTTGGAAATAGACTTCAAAATGGGTAGGGTTGGAAAAAACAGTAACAAGGGCAACAATGTGTTGTGATGAATAAATAGCGCCAGCTTGTGGAGACCGCCATTCTTACTCTTTTTCCTCTCTTCAAATGGCCCTAATATTAATTCTGTTTCAAATGTAAGGATGTTCGTATTTTAAGGGGAAAAAGCTGCTGCACTTCCAACATCTCACCTTTAGAGTCAATCTGCATTTCCAGTCTTAAAATAAATCAAGACTACTGGTATTCTAACCGCAAGCTAAAGTTTGAATTCCAAAGATCACATTAGGAGATGCCTTTTGAAGCAATTAGCACGAGAATTCATATCTCTTCCGAGCTTGACACAGGCTAGGTTAATTGTAGAGAAACCCACTGAATCAGCTAGTTGTCCTTCAGTTTCCTGTTTCCATAATTCTCAATATAACAAGTGAAATCCACACTGTGCCCAGTGTTTGAGGTAAAATTCTTCTATGCAAAGATATTGTGGATAAGGGTAAACATTCTTTCATATGGTGGTTCTACGTGAACCAGTTTGAAAACCTGTTAGTCTAACTATTCTTTTAAATTTGCAGTATAAATGGACTATGAATGAAATTTACTTATTCAAGGCTACAATTGCATATGCCATGAGACAGTACTTCCTGGTGAACAAGACTGAAACAGTAGAATTTCGGTAAGTGCTTCCTCTCATCTTTGCTGGAGGTTATCACTCTTGCTGCAGAAGGGGTAGGTGTTCTTGGAACCCAGCTCTCCCTCAAAGGCCCAGCCCTCATTGCTAGCATCAGGGATGATGGCAGTCATTTCTTTAGTAACCAATGAAGAACAACATGTTCCCTATTCCAATCTATAGCATCTCAGAGAGACCCACATTTTTTCTTAACTTGATGTGATCACATCCAGGTTCTAGACTCAGAAATTCCCTATTTTCAGTTCTCTAGAAATGGTTAAAAAAAATAACAAAAATTAAACTTAAATCATTCTGTCTTATTGCTTTATAGCTCAGCAGTGTAGGTGCCCAAGTAAGCACTGCTTTTTGTTTGAAAGCAGTGAGCAAACAAACCTGAGAGATGGTTGTTGTGGGTTTTTCGGGCTTCTTGGCCGTGTTCTGAAAGTGGTTCTTCCTAACGTTTCACCAGTCTCTGTGGCCGGCATCTTCAGAGGACAGCAAACTGTCGCCCAGAAGCCACTGGCAATGGTGCGGCTAAAAATATTGTAAATAAATAAATAAATAATAAATAAAGCCCGAAAAACCCACAACAACCATTAGATCCCGGCCGTGAAAGCCTTCACGAAAACCTGAGAGATGTCTCTTTGCTGTGTTCCTGTGCTAACACATAGGAGAAAGGTTATCACTCAGGTTATGCAGTTGCTTTCAAAGTTGTTTTTTTTTTTTGAGACGAACATCACTAGTTGTTACTCGTCATTATCCCCTCTGCCTAAAAGGGCACAAGCTAGGCAGTTTCCCTTTCGTTGTTAAAGGTTTATATGATAGGTTAATTTTTCTGATATCTAATTCCAAGTTCCAAGTTTAAGTTCATTGTATTGGCTAAAAGCCGGCACAATTGGTTGCTTTCAAAGTTGTTTTTTTTTTTTGAGACGAACATCACTAGTTGTTACTCGTCATTATCCCCTCTGCCTAAAAGGGCACAAGCTAGGCAGTTTCCCTTTCGTTGTTAAAGGTTTATATGATAGGTTAATTTTTCTGATATCTAATTCCAAGTTCCAAGTTTAAGTTCATTGTATTGGCTAAAAGCCGGCACAATTGATTGAAATACGTGCTTTTTTTTTTGAGCTGAACATCACTAGTTGTTACTCCTCATTATCCCCTGTGCCTAAAAAGCTGCAAGCTAGGCAGTTTTCCTTTCGTTGTTAAAGGTTTATATGATAAGCTAATTTTTCTGATATCTAATTCCAAATTCCACGTTTAAGTTTATTGTATTGGCTAAAAGCCGCAAATTAATAAGAGGCTATCAACAGGAGGAAAGATAAAGGGGGGGAGACAATCCGGGAGACACGTGTGGGTGCCCCTTCATATCTGGGAGTCCCCCTCACAATTGATCGCTATGGCTCTCAGGAAATTAGTGTGGATGTTTCTGGCTGCTTTTGCAAACAGCACTGCTCTGTATGTAACATATAGGTCACAGTCTGAAAGTAACCTGCTCACCTTTATCTGAGGGATTTCCTCCTGTACGGCAAAATTAATAAGAGGCCTATCAACAGGAGGAAAGATAAAGGAGGGGAGACAATCAGGGGGCACATGTAGGTGCCCTTTCATATCTGGGAGTCCCCTTCACAATTAATCACTATGGCTCTCGGGAAATTAGTGTGGATGTTTCTGGCTGCTTTTGCAAACAGCACTGCTCTGTATGTAACATATAGGTCACAGTCTGAAAGTAACCTGCTCACCTTTATCTGAGGGATTTCCTCCTGTACGGCAGCCAAAATGTTTCCCAGGAACTTTCCTCTGGGGTTTTGATAGAGCTGACAGTTGAGTAAAGAGTGAGCATCCTCTATCTCACCTGCTCCGCAAATACACAGCCTTAGATCCTTAGGGACATTCATGTACCTGCCATCTAAGACCACAGTTGGCATGGTTTGAAAATGAAGTTCTGTGAATGCGGTTCTCAGGGAGGCAAAAGTAAGTGTATGTAAGTATTGTGCCCTTGAGTGGTTTGTTTTCAGCAGATGATACCGGTGAGAGACGTTTGAAGAGTCTATTAAGGCTAAGTCCTGATCATTATCTTATTTGTAGAGCCAGTCCCTCAACATTCTTTTAACCCCAGAAAAAATAAAAATGTCTGTGGAGAGGGATTCAGATTTTAGTAAGGTTTGAACTGAAGTTGCCCGGCTGCCACTCTTCCATTGCTCTACCATACAGCGTTTAGGTAGACAGTGATCAGACATATCCATCACCCTCTTATAGTAGGAGACGCCCTGGCTTTAATGGACACCATGCCTGTCTCTGTTCTAAGAAAGGTTGTCGGGGTCCCCTGAGGTGCCATGAGGATGTGTCTCAGAAACTTGTTCTATCCTCTCTGCCTAAAAGGCTGCAAGCTAGGCAGTTTCTCTTTCATTGTTAAAGGTTTATATGATATTCTAATTTTTCTGATATCTAATTGAAAGACTAGAGGGCTTTTGACTTATGCCATTCCAACATTGCAAAAGCCACTGAACAGTTGGGATTGGAAAACTGGTGAGTAAGTAAAAGTCGGGGAGTTATGTCTAAATTCTGTGCAGTTATGGTTTCATTCAGAATGTGCAGAGACCTCTAGTACAAGACTTGTGCGTGTGTTTTATATTTGAGATACTACTCCTGCTGATGACTCTTCTTGTTTTCTTGCGAGTCCACTGCTAAATTTAGAATTTAAAGAAATTAATGTAAATTTAAATTTAAAGAAAAAAAAACATAAAGAAGTCAAAAACATTGTGACATCTTGAAGAGTAACTGCTTAATGTGAGCCTTAATGGAAAAGTCCACTTCTTCAGACATAAGAGTGGGACTACATAGCAAATATTTATACATTTATATATGGCCCCAACACAGACACTATATTTGGACACAAATTGTTGGCTGGCAATGATCTTTAAAACCCCTGTTGATTGGTGGCTGAATTAATCCTAGGCTACATATCCCAGGCACAATATAGTAAGGAGTATCTCTAATCACCAATGGAACTTGTGAGATGGCATTGGTAGATAGCAAGGAAATATAGTTAGGAAGCTCAGCAGACACAACACAATATTTTGTTTTATAATGACCTAAGAAACGTTGTCTTATATTGAATCTTATATTGAATCCAGTATATGTTATCTCAACTCTCCCCCTATAGATTCTTGTCCTATAAATTTTACTAATACTGTATTGTATTTTAAACATATCACTGGGTAGCAGATCACTACTAGAGTAGGTCTATTGAATCAATGGAACTTACATATGTTTTGGCTCACCAATTTATCACTTATTCAGCGGGCCTACTATAGTTGCAACCTATTGCTAGATTCCAGCCATTAAAAAAACCTCCCATGTGCCTACTAGTACTACAGAATGAAATGATCCCCCTTGATTCATTCTTTTAAGTACAGTAGTCAGAACCTTATTGTTGATTTACACATGTGTAGATAAATTGAGTTGGGCTTGATAGCAAATGCCTGTTCATTAGTAACATATCTATAGTGAAAGTTTATGGACCATGAGAAGACACCTAAATGTTGAGGTTGGAAAAAAGAGAGATGTGAGTAAGTAACAACACATAAACAAAACAGTTTGAAAAATGAAATCTTCCGCTTTAGGACTGTCTGCCCCAAACTGATGGACTGATGGTTTCCAGACATGTGAGACAGCCTGGTCCAACAATTGTGTTATGTGCCAGAATTGGAAAGGCAACTTCAAAATAAGAAAAATAAAACTTCTGAAGTGGCTAATAATAACATGTCACCAAGCACTAGTGATGACAACATACATCCTGTTGTCTGTAACCATGCTGTTTATTTCAAAACTAAAAGTTCCATTTACAGATTAACAAACTGTTAAATTTCATTTCCCAGAAGATCAGCAACACATTACGCTGCCCATTTCTCACATTATTTTCCCTGTTTCCTTTTCCCTGGAACATCTAGTGGTGGGGGTGATGGTGGTTTCCGAGTTCCTTTTGTAGGCCAAAATATCTAGCTTAGCATAAAGCAGCTTCTGCTGCTTTACCGTTTCTGTGGATCACCATGGCAGCTGGGGAGGGACAATAACAGGAGGAAGTATGCACTAAATAAACAATCACACTGCACTGATTTAATATATACAGCATGTAATCACATGCAATACAAATATGAAATCTTTCAAAGAACTGATGCCCATTTCTTTGGCTCAGATTGGCTACTTCTCAAAAAAATGGAAAAAAAAATGTCATCCAAAGATTTGGTCTGGCACCCAATTTGACTCCTTTGTTTAGAAGTTTTCTGCACATAAGAAAACAGAAGTTAAGCACTATACGTATATTCCAGTGGCAAATACAGAGATCTGATGGTTTCTTTGGAAATGATGTTCATCTGGATGGTTTTAAGCTTAATGTATGACTTTTCATAAACATGTTTTTTTCTTGCCAGATCAATAGACGTCCATGTTGGTGGTATGACACCAAGAATCTCGTTCTATTTTGTGGTCACCATGCCTGGCAACACCACTGATATAGTTCCTAGAACTGAGGTGGAAGAAGCAATCAGGTGAATATATGAATTCTTGGCAAAACACATATGAGAAAGAGGCACACATAGAAATGTTGCTGTGATTATTTACTGGGTTCAGGGAGTTCCGCTCAGCTACATCATTCTGCCTGCCCTGGGGCTGGTGAAACCAGGATAGTCAGTTTTAGTGAGGACTATTCTGGCACCAGTGCCTCCGAACAACTCAGTGTTCCCGGATTTGGCAATGCCTCTAGGTAGTCCAAAAATCTGTAAGGCTAGGCACTTGTTGTTGGTACAGCAACCGCGCAAGGCAGGCCACAATCCCCCAAAAATGCCAAAAGTCTTACTATCTGGTCAAGGCAAGACCTGGTTTTAGTACCACAAATGCTCTGAGCAAAAAACCCAGATGGTTGAAGAGATGTTTATATTTTGTTTAAACAATTGTAAGAAGATAAAAATGCAAAAGGTTTCAAAATAATAAAGTTAAACCAATCTACCTAATACAGTATACATTAGCACAGAGTCAGCATAGTTCTGAAGCATGCACAGAGTACATCCTTCATGTTTGCCATAGCAGGAGCCCAATTGAGTATAACATCTCCTGAGAAGTAAGCTAAGCCAATTTAAGTAACTTTTGAACTTCTTTGTATATAACAGTCATCCTCTTCTAGACCCTTACGGATTGTTCACCAAGCAGATTTTGAGTTCCCTTGTATGTTCAATAAGACCAGAGCATTTTCTATCTCTCTCCCTTTGCACAACTGAAGTCATCTCCCAATTAGTGCAGTACCAGGGAGAACCAGATGGCTTGGCCTTGAAGGCCTCTTTTATAAAAGATAACCTGGCACCAGACAGATGCTGATGAAGATCAAACTATCAGCCAAGCTTTTCCCAGGCACTCACAGAGAAGCCTGATTTTCCAAGACGGATTCGACGTTCCATGTTCCCCAGTTCTTTCTTTCTTCAGAGTAGCTTTTGAAAATAATCTGGCATGGAAAATAACTAGTCTATGAGCCCTTTTGTCCCATAGACTGAACTGGGATATTTATCAGTTACATATTATCTACCCTTATATCTCACCTTTCCTCCAGAGACTTCAAGATGGCACACTTGTGTCTCTTACCACTTTATACCCACAACAGTTCTGTGAGGGAGGTTATGCTGAGAACGTATGAATGTCTCAAGATTAAACAGTGCGTTTCCTAGTTCAGTAGGGACTATAGCCTGGTTCTCCCAATTATCAGACGTAGCCACTAAAACACAATATCTGAAATCTCATTACCTATGTTATACAGTATTTAGGAATCTAATATATATAATATGAAAAAAAGGGTCAAGGTTCCCCTTGACAATTAAGTCCAGTCATGTCAGACTCTAGGACATTATAAGCCGAAGAGCCAATGTTAATATGAAAAATGGGACATTACTCTTTACAGCAACTAACTCATGTTGGAATGGTATGTGTTTTCTGCTTCGTCTTCCTAAAAAGAATACTTACAGAGTATCCATCCATTTATTCAGGAACACCACTGACTTTAATGAGACTTACTCCCAGTTATGTGTGCATGGGCTGCAATACCATGTCTATGTGCTTTGAACTAAGAATAGAAACTCAATGTAAGTGAGTAGACATGCCTATGGTTATAGGGAATAGCTCTAGAAAGAAAATGAAATGATAAAACCCATTTAATTCAGAAAATGTAATACCTGGAGCTATAAAGTTCAAAGTCTAGAAACCGTGTTAAGTGTAATACAGATATAAAGGAGGAATAGTCGTTTATATTTGTGTTACAGAAACAAGTGGAATTCTGAATGTTTGTGCTGAATTTAAAATTTTATTTTAATTATTGCATGGATAAGACAAAGCCAAATAAAAGAACCAAAAGAATAGGGAACAGTATACAGAAGCTAACTGGCTGAGCGAAAAAGGAGATAAAAATTAGACAGGAAGCATAGAAAAAAATATTGTGGTCCTTCTGATGTTTTGAGCTTCAACTTTCCAGCATAGCCTGTGTTAAGTGATTAAGCCCCAAACACATGGAAAGTTAGGAGTTCTCTACCTGATATAAATACAGTGGAGTCTCGACTTACGTGTGGCTCCACTTACGAACTTTTCGACCTATGGACTTCTCTGGCTGCAAAGTTTCACTTCGACTTGTGACCGGAGAATCAGTCTACGGACCAGAAGGGGGAGGCAGGGAAAGCGCCAAATTCAAATTTGGTGCTTTCCCCACCTCCCCGTTCCAATCCGTAGGCTGAAGGTCGTACCCGCTATCAGCTTTGAGCTTTCTAAGCCCCGAAAGCCCAAAGCTGACAGTGGGCGCAGAGCGGCTTTCGGCTTCCAAAGCTGCAAGCCAAAAGCCACTCTGTGCCTGCTGTCAGCTTTCGGGACTTAGAAAGCTGGACCCACTGGCCTCTTTTTTTTTTCGCACCGAGGACAGGAGGCAAAGGACAGCAGGTGCAGCTTTGGAAGCCCCAGATTTTTTTTTCTTTGGCTGGAACGAATTAAATGGTTTTCAATGCATTCCTATGGGAAATGGATCCTCGACCTATGGAATTTTCAACCTGCGGCCACAGTTCCAATACAGATTAATTCCGTAAGTCGAAGGTCCTCTGTGCAAAAATGTTTTCATATACCTTTGGCACTCTAGCTGTTTTAGACTACAAATCCCAGAATTCCCAGCTTATTTTACCAATTATAAACGACTGTGGGAATTGCAACTTGAAAGACGTGGAGCAAAGTGTGCTGCTTTGAAGGGCCAAATCTCTGGAGGGCCAAAAATTCGCCATCCCTGCATTGTGAGCTTTCTCCTATTGGAGTAAGCTCCCTAGGCAGTATTCTATAAAGTGTTTTAGTTGAAAATCAAGGAATATTTGTTAGGAGAACCCCTTGTAATTGTATTGCCTTCTTTGTTCACAGAATGTCTCGAGGTCGTATCAATGAAGCCTTTAAACTGGATGACCAAACTTTGGAATTTGTTGGTATTCCTTCAACTCTGGCACCACCTTACGAACCCCCAGTTACTGTATGGATTATAGTATTTGGAGTTGTTATCGGTCTTGTAGTAATTGGTGCTGTTGCTTTGATCATCATGGGGGTGAAAGATCGGAGAAGGTAAATAACATTTTTAGGCATCATAAGCCTTTTTAAATCGATGCACACTCATTTTGTATAGTTTTAAGGTGATAAATATTTTAAGGCAATATTAGTTTTGAGTTGATTCTATTGCATGGCAAACTAAGAACTTAGTTGTTTTCAGTGCCCTTGTTTCAATCCTGTTTTCACTCAGCATCATTCAGTATACTGAACTGTTCTTGACATTAACAAACTTTTCAAATGTTCATGTTAAGCACACCCTCAATTTCAAATAGCAATGTGTGACATGCTTTTATGGCCTAGGATGAGGCTTCATCCAAAATATGCAATTTGTACTTGTAGGTGCTTAGTTCACTCCTAAATAGACTTGTGACCAGCATTCTTTTTGGAAACAAACCAGTGGATTCTGACAGTAAAAAGGATTGCAGAGGAACCCTGTCCCCTATTATTTTATTTATTTCTTTAATTTATATACTACCCCATTAGTGTGACACACTATTCTGGGCAGTTTATAGCATGCTAAAATAAAACCTTTTATAAGAAATAAAAGCAATCAGACAATAAGCTTCTCATACTTAAAAAAAAATTCTCCTAAGTGCCACAGTGCTATTTCCTATATAAGAGAGTGTCCATGCTAGATCAATGTATTGCTGTAACACTATGCCACTTGCTAAATTAAAAAAACAAAAAAGCCAAAGTTGCTATGGCCTTTGGAATGACAGCCATGACAGAAGGAAGGGAAAGGGGCAGGAAAGCAGGTGTCAATAATTGCTCAATAATTGGAGCAATCTGAAATACTGTCTGGTTCCTTCACATGGGAGAAGAAATGTCTCCTATAGTAATGGAAGGATTACTAAAGTGCAAGACAAAATAGATCACAAAGAAGAAAAAAACCTTTTAGACATTACCTGGATTGCTCCAAATCATCTTGTCTAGTCACATCCTAACTTAGCATATTTAGAGTCCCTTCTTCTAACTGCCACCCTGACAAGACTACACACATGCCCTTGCCATAGTAATAGTTAATAGCAATATAAAGTTCTGTACATCCATTTAGAGAGCACTCTGAGACCAGGCTTAAATTTATTCTTTTCCCTATAAACTATCTTGTAAAATAAAGAAGATATAAAAGTGTTAGAAGCCAGAGATACAAACAACATAGTAAGAACACAGTTTCATGCGACTTCAATTCTTCCCTCTTACCAGTTCCATAATATTTATTTATTTATTTACATTTTGTTAATAATATCAGGCTTTTGGTTGGAACACTGGGCTTTCCTTGCCTTTATTCACCCAGGGTTATATAACCTTCTAATACCCCAGAAAGCAGCTTATATCTAGTGCCATTAACTGGGTGATAGTCCTAAAGTTTGCCAACTATCTAATTTATTCCTTAACAAAAATCATTACATACCAGTGACATACAAGTTAAGGCCAAAGTTTTACAAAGCAGGCATTCCCAGATTCCACTTCAAAGGGTAGGACTTCTGCCTCTTGTTTGATTCCAAGCATTTAAATGTTAAGTGGCTTTCCAATATGAGATGTTTTGATTCAACATCCATTTTTTAAAAAAACAAGGGTTACTGTAAATAACTGACATTTTCAGTTGATTCTTTTATACAAACAACCTACATTGCTTTGAAAAGACAAGCTATACCATTCCTTAGCTTTTCCCATTAACAGCAAATAAGGAATATCTGTGACGAATGTTTTCCCTTTGTTTTGTGTCCATCTGTTCAAGGCTTGATGAAACAAGTTTATTGTGTTTCTATGTAGGAGGAGAAACGCAGCACAAAATGACTTAGTCCAAATGGATGAAGCCAACACATCTGGGAATGATGGAGAAACAAATCCAACATTTTTAAGAGAAGATACCTCAACCACTTTCTAAAGCATCCCATGCATGTTTCTTATTGATCGTCACGTGTCAGCATCAATGACATGATAACAGGAAGGGCCACATAAATGTACATCTTGCTAAATATCAAGTGGATCTGAGTGCCAGAGAGCTGTAGTATTCACATACCTGCATGTCTAGTACAGAATAATATGTTTTTGCTAATCACAGTAGGCTTGAAACCCAAAGAAGCATACTGTCCTAGGGAAAAGTAGGACTGGAATCAGCCCTCTCTAGGCAGTTAATAGACACTGCAAAACAGACAGGAAGCCAGCATCTCTGCAGCATTGCACATGTGACAACTCCTGTGTCAAGAGCTGTGCATGCTTCCTTGCCGTGAATGCAGCCCAGACAATTACGCATGTAGATTTTCATCTTCAGTTTAGCATGCACAAACAGGAGGCTTTGACTATATGTGATAAGAGAGATTAATGGCGAGACTGCCCATCTCTTCTATTTTTTCAAAAAAGCAGTTGCAATTCTTGGTCTTTCAACCAAAACTGCAGCAACAGGTGAGTTCTTCCACCATGGCTTTTTCTGTGAGAACACGAAACTCTCAGAAGCTATCATTTGACTCATTAGGGCAAACATATGGATACCACTTGGAAAAATGCAAACCGGGGAAAATATGTTGAAACATTTTTCTAACAGCCTGCCATTTGTTCTGGAACATTTAGTTTGTGTGCTAACAATAAGCGCTTATTTTTTTCAGTCTTCATTTAATTTTATCTACATGAAAAACCCTGATGTTTAGAATAATTTTATCCTTTTTTAACACCAAAATTCAGTATAAAATATCCAGCTTGTTAGCAAGCTTGAGATATTAATGCCCTTTTTAATCAGTGGAACCAGCCACTGGTTTGAAGCACTTTTAGTGCTGTGTTTCCCTGAAAATAAGACAGGGTCTTATATTAATTTTTGTTCCAAAAAAGCAGTAGGGCTTATTTTCAGGGGATGATTTTTTTTTCCTGTACAACAATCTATTTTTATTCAGATACAGTCATGTCATCTTCTTCTGGTTGCTGCACGATGGTGGAGGGCGGAGTTTCACTGAACTGGGGCTTATTTTGGGGGTAAGGCTTATATTACGAGCATCCTGAAAAATCATACTAGGGCTTATTTTCAGGTTAGGTCTTATTTTCAGGGAAACAGGGTAGTTCATTTCATTTTGTTTTATTTAAATGTAATTAAATACAATAAATAAAAACTTTACCTTCAAATTGTAAAAACGTGTTTTACTCTTCACAAATGTAAAGTTAGAACTGCGAGGAAAGGTAAAATATTTGACCAAAGAAAGGGGTTTTTCCCCCCATTTTTAAATGTTTTAAAAAGAGCACATTCCAAGGCGTGTCTCAGTTGTTGAGGAACACCTTCTGAACTGTGTATCTGCACTATGCAATTATAACTGTCATTGATAAGATTTACAATTTGATGAGGTAATTAGAAGTCTGTACTAGAGATCTCTAGTGTACACCCCCGAATTACACCAGAGAATTCTAAAAGTGTCACTAAACTACAGATCCCAGGATTCTATAAGGTGGCATATACAATTGTGCAGTGTAGATAACACTCTTGTATTTAGCAATAACCACTCAAAAGAGTGGTTATGAACTGCGTGTTGCCACCATTTTCAGAGTACAGTACCTTCTAGATTCTCACGCATGTCCTCTGGATCTTTTGGTACAGATCCTCACACAGGAATCTGAACCAGACATCATCACACACTTAAAAATCACTAAAATGCATGTGTTATCTCACTGCTTAATATTTGAACCATTTTGCTGCTTTAATCACATTTAAGCAAGCAATGCTAAGCAAAATTTTAGAGGCAACATTTCTGTGAGAGCTTGAGAGAGATACATGTGGGAGGATTCTACTTAAGATGGCTGGTTCTTCAAGGCTTGTCTTTTTCTCTGTGTGGTTCCATCAGCAAGAGCAGATGGTGAAACGAGGGGCGTTCTTCAGGCAACTGTATCGAAAAGAAATGGCAAAGGTGACAAATATGTTAGAGTCTGTGAAGACAGAGGCCAGATGCTTACTGTTTCTGTATGTTAAATCATAGTAGCAAATTGCCACCAGTTAAGGAGCTGCTACTTGTATTCCTCAGTGAGCACTAGTTTTGTGACTCGGCACATGACAAGGAATACAAGCGAGATCTCCTTAACTAGAGGCAATTTATTACTAGGATTTATCTTGTTGCATTTACAATGCTGTAACGTGAGCAATGAGATTCTGGGCAGAGCATTGTAAAATTGATTTGTAGAAAAACTGAATTACAGTTATTCATTCTACCCTGGAGTGGCAGATTCCAGAAAGCACACAAAAGTGTTATTTTGCACTTATGAAGCATTGTGATATTGTTCTTAGAAAATTATATTTATAATTGATCATATAATTATAATATGGGATATTTAAATAATGAAATAAATCAATGTATATGTCACGCATAAAAGAGGATAAAGGGGAACAAGTAGATCATCCTTTGCCATTGATAAGATTCACATGGGCTGTCATTATTTTATGTTATAATACTGATTTTTATAAATTTTTTATTAATTTAAATTTCTTTATATGCAAAACAAAAACAAAACAGTAGTGTATTAATGGAGACCATCCATTAATACAATATATGTCTATTACAACAATGTTTCCTTCATCTTTTAAAAGGCCTCTTATTCCTTCCAGATTTTTGACCTGGCTTTTTCCTTTTTCCTTTATTCAATACGGCATTTATAAAATCACCCCACATCTAATTAAATGTATTAATCTTTATCGCTCCTTTTTAAAAACTTAATTTCAGACGTCAGTTTATTATTAATTGCAATATTCCAGATTTCATTATATCATTCATTTCTTCTTCCAGCTTTTTGCTATAAGTATGTAATTGAGTGGTTCTTATCATATTTACAATCATCTGTTTCTTCGAGTTATTTACATTATAATTATTTATTAACAATAATTATGCTGTTCTTGATGATGCTTCAATGTTGACCTCAAACATTTCTGTAATTTTTTAAAAAACTTCCCTCCAAAGCCTTTGCATTACTTCACATTCCCACCATAAGTGCAGACATGTAGCTAATTCTTTATTGCATCTTCAGCACATCTTGGATTATTTAGAATCTATTTTGTTTATTTTTTTCAGTGTTAAATACCATCTCCATGTTATAACCATTCTTTTATTCTAACTGGCATGTTTTTAAAAACTATTTTATTCCATACATTTTTCCATTCCTCCTTATTTTTCCTAAATCTGCCTCTCATATTATTTTTAATCCACCTAATGGATCTGCCTCTTCTGTCAATATTCTATGTGTGTGTGTTTAGTCGTTTAGTCGTGTCCGACTCTTCGTGACCCCATGGACCAGAGCACGCCAGGCCCTCCTGTCTTCTACTGCCTCCCGGAGTTGTGTCAGGTTCATGTTGGTTGCTTCGCAGACACTGTCCAGCCATCTCATCCTCATCCATATATTTATATTCTATAAATATTACCAATTCTCCCTTTTTCCTTTTTTTTGTTCACCTCATTCTCCATATTCTTTATTTGTTCAAACGTTGTCAGTTGCCTAGCCTTCAGTTTTTTCTCCTTTCAACCATTGTTCCAGTGGTATCAAATTTAACCAATTTAATTTTTCTTCTGCAAAAATACTTCTTAATTGATCCTTATTTTGGATTTTATTTTTCCAGTCCTCCCATTTCTATATCTGTTTTCTTTTTAATTTGTTAATCAGTTAATCAACTCCTTTATCCCGTATCTTGGAAAATTCTCTAACTCAACTAAATTAAGAGACATAAAACCTGTCTTCATTTATTCCAGATTTCAAGTTTTAAAAAAAGAGTCACTGCTAGAGTTGTTGGTCAAGTGTATGCACCTGTTGGCTGGGTGCATGCTCGAGAATCCCAGTGGGGGGTTTATTAGTTGTCAAATATAAGGCAATGAAACATATGTCATTTGCCCTCAATGCATAACTAAGTAACAAGACTTTTTCTTTATGCTGTCAGTGATGTAACAGTTAGGCAAAACTGATGCCATGTAATATTAATAGAATTACTTAAAAATTTTTAATCTCTGACCTGGGTATAAATGTATGCTGAAGAAGAATATATAATTCAAGCTGTTGTTTGTTTTCAAAATTCTTAATGAAGGAAAAAGTTTGGTCATTACTATTCAGAACAGTATTTATTGTTTCACAGACTTGTTGATGCAGTCACAGTGTATCAACATGAACTTCACAAAGCATCTTAACATAAGAACTGCTGCTCTCTAAAAGAGCAGTCCCTTATGGAAACGCTATTTAGGTTTTATTAACACTTTCATAAAAAATTTTAGCTTCCTTTCAAAATAATTCTTAGAGGGCCTTTCTAAGCCTAGGGAAAATAACAAGGTTAGGCTTGTCTGACCAAACTTCTCAAAGCCCAAAACAAAGCTGGTCACTTTTCCAGCTGAGCAGTTCAACCGTCAGACCTTCCCTTTTAAATATACCTCTCATCCCTGATTGGTATGGCCTTCCCATGATATAAATGGCTGAGAAAATTTGAAAACGATGGAAAATTTACTTCGCTCACCAAAAGTTTCAGGCAGTGAGGTCTTTCAAAACTCTACTCAAGAGTCTCAAAATAAGATTTCAGAGACTGAACCTGGGGCTTTTTAAAAATACAAATGGAACATTATTCCACCAGTTTCTCCAGTATATCCAATGGCAGAGTTGGAGAAATTCTCCCAAAATTTGAAAGAATAGATTGAGAATTTATTAAGAGACAAATTATTAGAATAAAAGATTAGTGAGAAAAAATCTGGAATAAAGAGCAAATAAAAAGTGATAGGAATTGATAAAATATCTTGGTGTAATATTTTTCAATTAGAGCAGTGGGCAAAGGATTGGGTAAAAAGAAATGGTAACTGCAGAGAAGTTATGAAATTTGAAGAGATTCTATCGTGTTTCCCCCCCAAAAAGACAAGGTCTTATATTACAGTACTTTTTGCTCCAAAAATGCATCAGGGCTTATTTTCAGGCACACAAAAGTGTTATTTTGCACTTATGAAGCATTGTGATATTGTTCTTAGAAAATTATATTTATAATTGATCATATAATTATAATATGGGATATTTAAATAATGAAATAAATCAATGTATATGTCACGCATAAAAGAGGATAAAGGGGAACAAGTAGATCATCCTTTGCCATTGATAAGATTCACATGGGCTGTCATTGTTTTATGTTATAACACTGATTTAAAATTTTTTATTAGTTTAAATTTCTTTACATACAAAACAAAAACAAAACAGTAGTGCACCCCTCGCCCCAGGGACCATCCATTAATACAATACATCACTCTCTATATTACAACAACGTTTCCTTCATCTTTTAAAAGACCCCTTATACCTTCCAGATTTTTGACCTGGCTTTTGTCCTTTTCCTTTATTCAATGTGGCATTTATAAAATCTCCCCATATCTAATTAAATGTATTAATCTTTATCACTCGTTTTAAAACTTAATTTCAGATGTCAGTTTATTGTTAATTGCAATATTCCAGATTTCATTATACTATTCATGTGGTTGAAAAATCCATTTCTTCTTCCAGCTTTTTGCTATAATTATGTAATTGAGCAGCTCTTATCATATTTACAATCATCTCTTTCTTTGAGTTATTTACTTTATGATTATTTATTAACAATAATTATGCTGTTCTTGATGATGCTTCAATGTTGACGTCAAACATTTCTCTAATTTTTAAAAAACCTTCCCTCCAAATCCTTTGCATTACTAAGTGCAGATATATAGCTAATTCTTTATTGCATCTCCAGCACATCTTGGAATATTTAGAATCTATTTTGTTTAATATTTTCAGTGTTAAATACCATCTCCACATTGTTTTATAACCATTCTTTTAATCTGACATGTTTTAAAAAACCCTTTTATTCCATACATTTTCCATTCCTCCTTATTTTTCCTAAATCTGCCTCCCATATTATTTTTAACCCACCTAATGGATCTGCCTCTTCTGTCAATATTCTATAAACATTACCAATTCTCCCTCCCCCCCCCTTTTTGTTCACCTCATTCTCCACATTCTTTATTTGTTCAAACATTGTCAGTTGCCTATCCTTTAATTTTTTCTCCTTCATGCAACCATTGTTCCAGTGGTATCAAATTTAACCAATTTAATTTTTCTTCTGCAAAAATACTTCTTAATTGATCCTTATTTTGGATTTTATCTTTCCAATCCTCCCATTTATATATCTGTTTTCTTTTTAATTTGTTAATCAATTCCTTTATCCTATATTCTTGGGAATTTCTCTAACTCTACCACCAGCATTAAAGGGGATATTCCAGGACATAAAACCTGTCTCCATTTATTCCAGATTTCAAGTTTTTTAAAAAAGAGTCACTGCTGGAGTTGTTGGTCAAGTGTATGCACCTGTTGGCTGGGTGCATGCTCGAGAATCCCAGTGGGGGTTTGTTAGTTGTTAAATATAAGGCAATGAAACATATGTCATTTGCTTCTCCATGCATAACTAAGTAACAAGACTTTGTTCTTTATGCTGTTAGTGATGTAACAGTTAGGCAGAACTGATGGCATGTAATATTAATAGAATTACTTAAAATCTTTTAATCTCTGACCTGGGTATAAATGTATGCTGAAGAAGAATATATAATTCAAGCTGTTGTTTGTTTTCAAAACTCTCAATGAAGGAAGAAGTTTGGTCATCACTACTACAGAACAGTATTTATTGTTTCACAGACTTGTTGATGCAGTCACAGTGTATCAACATGAACTTCACAAAGCATCTTAACATAAGAACTGCTGCTCTCTAAAAGAGCAGTCCCTTATGGAAACGCTATTTAGGTTTTATTAACACTTTCATAAAAAATTTTAGCTTCCTTTCAAAATAATTCTTAGAGGGCCTTTCTAAGCCTAGGGAAAATAACAAGGTTAGGCTTGTCTGACCAAACTTCTCAAAGCCCAAAACAAAGCTGGTCACTTTTCCAGCTGAGCAGTTCAACCGTCAGACCTTCCCTTTTAAATATACCTCTCATCCCTGATTGGTATGGCCTTCCCATGATATAAATGGCTGAGAAAATTTGAAAACGATGGAAAATTTACTTCGCTCACCAAAAGTTTCAGGCAGTGAGGTCTTTCAAAACTCTACTCAAGAGTCTCAAAATGAAGATTTCAGAGACTGAACCTGGAGCTTTTTAAAATACAAATGGAACATTATTCCACCAGTTTCTCCAGTATACTCAATGGCAGAGTTGGAGAAATTCTCCCAAAATTTGAAAGAATAGATTGAGAATTTATTAAGAGACAAATTATTAGAATTAAAAATTAGGCCTTCCCATGATAAAATTTGAGGAAAATTTGAAAATGCTGGAAAATTTATTTGGCTCACCAAAGGTTTCAGGCAGTGAGGTCTTTCAAAACTCTACTCAAGAGTCTCAAAATGAAGATTTCAGAGACTGAACCTGGAGCTTTTTAAAATACAAATGGAACATTATTCCACCAGTTTCTCCAGTATACTCAATGGCAGAGTTGGAGAAATTCTCCCAAAATTTGAAAGAATAGATTGAGAATTTATTAAGAGACAAATTATTAGAATAAAAGATTAGTGAGAAAAAATCTGGAATAAAGAGCAAATAAAAAGTGATAGGAATTGATAAAATATCTTGGTGTAATATTTTTCAATTAGAGCAGTGGGCAAAGGATCGGGTAAAAAGAAATGGTAACTGCAGGAGAAGTTATGAAATTTGAAGAGATTCTACCATGTTTCCCCAAAAAGAAGACAGGGTGGTAACTGCAGAGAAGTTATGAAATTTGAAGAGATTCTATCGTGTTTCCCCCCCAAAAAGACAAGGTCTTATATTACAGTACTTTTTGCTCCAAAAATGCATCAGGGCTTATTTTCAGGACATGTTTTATTTTTTTTTCATGTACAACAATCTACATTTATTCAAATACAGTCATGTCATCTTCTTCTGGTGGCTGCACAATGGTGGAGGGTGGGGTTTCACTTAATCGGGGCTTATTTTTTGGGGTAGAGTTTATATTACAAGCATCCTGAAAAGTCATACTAGGGCTTATTTTCAGGTTAGGTCTTATTTTCAGGGAAACAGGGTATTACAAAAATAAAGCACAGGGACAGTAGTAAAATTTTTAATATTTTAGTGGAAGCAGAAGATCAGGAGGATTTACTTAAAACATCATAGCAATATTATCTGGGAGAAGAAATAGGTGCCAGTGTTTGGAGTAATGTATGGGATATTAGAATATAGAAATCTATGTCAGTAAGGATAAAAGAAAATATCAATAAGTTAGTTGGGAGATGGTACTTAACTCCAGTGAAACTAAAGCAAATGAATTCTATTTATTCTAAGATGTTCTGGAGAGGGTACCAAAAAGCAACTACTTATTTTCATATGTGGTAGGAATGCAAAACTAGATCAACATTTTGGCAATTGGTTTTTAAGGAAAGAAGTAAATTAATGAAAGAGGTAAATTAAACTTAGGATAAATTAAATGTTATGTCCTAAAGTAGTGCTTTTATCAATATTTGAAAAGGAGGAATGTAACTGGACAAATAAAGAAGTGACTTCCCACTGGGTAAGCTATAGCTAGAAAGTGGAAAGTGTGGTATAGTTTCCATTTAAATGATTGGTTTAGGGAAGTTTTGGATATGGCTATTAATGATAAGCTAATATCATTAATATTAAATATTAAACTTAAGCAGGCGGTGCTAAATAAAGATATTTATTTAGATATATGGGTAGAATTTATCAATTTTGTTCTAATAAAGGGGAAGCAATATGGCCCCTCGAAAGAGTCAGTTTTGGAAGGGGAACTGGGCTCCACTGGAGCAAATGGCTGTGACACCAGACTGGTCCCTGAGGGAGCAGGAGCATCATGTTTAGTAGATGTTTGTTACTTGTTTATTTTATGTTTATATGATTTTCTTTGCTTACATTAAAAAAATTAAAACTGTAAAACAAAAACAAAAAAACCAACCCAAGATATTCTGAATGTCTGGGGGATTCTTAACATTTTAATCTAATGAAGTAACTTTTCCAGCTCTGTTTCTTGCTTGGCGTTAGTACCCCACCATAAGTGTGACTATTTTTTTCAGCGCCTAGTTACTAGTATGTTTTCAGTAGTATGAAAAGAAATTATAATGGGCTGAAATCTTGTTCTTGTAACTGTGCCGGCAGAAGGCTGATAACATCCTCAGCAAGAGGTGATTTTTTTCCCCAGAAATTTAACATTTCCTGTTTCTGTGGTTTGACTCCTGGAGCTCCTATGTAATCCCTTTCATTATAAAGAAGCACCGAGAGCTGTAGGATGGGAGGATGAAATATTCAATTACCAGAAGTCAGTGCCACCATTATTATCATCTCAGTGCTAGCCATCTTCTATAATGAAAGGCTTCCTTTTCTAGTCCTGCAGTCCCCACAGCATCCACACAATGAAAAGGATTATACAGGAGCTGTGGGAACTATCCAGAGAACTAGGGACTATTTCATTTCCAAAAACAGGCCCTGCTGTCACCAGCCTTTTTGTGGCCATAGCTGCAGCAACGGGATTTGTTGTGAGAGGTTATATCTGTGAGAGATGAAGTATGTACTAGTAATGACAGACGGACTAAACAGTGTCATACATTCGTAAACATTTGAAATTGTGTTTTTCAAACAAAGACAATAGTTTCATGTGAAAATATGGGAGTATATCTGCAGAGGTCATTGTATCAGAGCACTAGAGAAGGTTAGATGACAGTTTTATCCTTAAAAGAAATATTGCAAATACCTCATGCCAGCAGCTGTACATGATTTGATAGATTGCCTCAGAAGCCAGTTGTGGACGATAAAGCCGATAACCATTGCAAACCTTCTCAATCACTTGCATATTATCATACCGGTCATAGGGTTGTTTTCCCAACGTGAACACCTCCCACATTAAAATTCCTGCAGACATGCCCAAAGTGATAAAAACCAAATATGTTTATACTGCTCTGCAAGTATCGATTATGACATACTGAGTATGTCAGTTGTGTTATCTCCCTTTTAAAAACTGCTTGAAAAGAGATACTTTAAAACTATTTTTAATTCCAGGTATCTCTAGATACAAGTACAAACACTTTTTTGGTATGAGTGCACAAACTCTTCAGCCTCAAGATGTATTGAAGTTCCATGTCATTTGTGAGACATAAACATATACTGTATGTATATGTACATACACAGAGACACTTCCTTCACTCTCCAAATCTTATCATGTATGCACACTTCTCTCAACACATACACATTCTCCCCCATATACATATTGGAGTGTTATCACCCCTCAAGCAACCTACATAGAGATCTTTTGAGTTGGTGAACAACAATTTCACCCTCATTGAACAGCTAGATGGGGTCTTACTGGCTCTACAAGTTGTGCACTCTTGATAAAGGAACACTCAGTTTTTCAGAAGACACCTGAGCTGTACCACAAATAATTGTCTCTGTTGTGGGTGCATTAAAAAACCCAAGGCTCTCACTCACAATACTCCTAAGCACAAATTGAATATCTTCCAGCCTACTGTATGTCATGCACTGGGACACCACTGCCTACCAAGTTATTCCTCTTTCAGCTTTTCTGCCTCCAGAGAGAATTTTGCAAGTACCCAGTATGCTGAACAAATGCACAGTACACCTGGGAAATTCATAAACTACCAAGCACACATGGCTGTCTTTGTGTGAATTTTCAATAGCCCAAATGCTCAGGATCTGTCTGTCTGGGTGTGACAGAACAGACTTCAGCAAGTGATAAAGTTCTTGCATCAGATGCTACAACCAAGGATTAAGGTAGATGCTACACAGAGTTTGGAAAAGTTGCTTTTTTGGACTCCAGTCCTCAAAATCCCTTACTCAGCATGGCAAAAGGCAACGTTGGCAAAGGGACTCTGGAAGCTGTTTCAGAAAAGTGTTTCCAGCGTTGCTGCATACAATATAAAGTGTGCAGGAAAGCTTTCCTTCCTTTCTTCTCGGGAAAGTAAGTGTGGAGGTCCCTCATCCATATTGAGGGACCTCATCCTGTGAGCACGGAAGGTTAGAAAAGGGTGGTGAAAGAAAAATTATGGAGGCCTTTCCTCCGTTTGTATTGGACTGTGGGAGGCAGCATACGTACAGTTGTACCTTAACCATCTAACTGCATTCCTCAGGATTTCCATCTTCTGAAATTCAACACAGAAGAGAGTAAAAGCCAAACATTGCTTCTAATTCAAAACATGTCCATTAAAAAAATAAAAAATAAAACTGGAAATATATTTTGCGCATGGCCAAAGAGAGCCTGTATTTAGGCCTTGATTCACACATTTTTCCTCTCAAAACAGTGGAGACACAATCTTCACTTGAACAGCACAAGGGGATAATGGGTCTCATGGTTTTAGGGCTGCTGAATAGATGGCAGTTGTACTACCATCTTTTAGGTACATATGAACAGCCTTGTAAGAACAGCCTCCTTAGGACAATTTCCTAGCAGACAATTCACTCTGTTCCTGATCATTCTTTTCCAGCAATGTTCTGTATGTTACATATGCAGATATTTGATATATGAGATATCTGACACAGCAATAATTCTTCTTGCTTGATGTTGCCTTGTCACACATTTTGTCACATACTCACCAAAGGCCCAGACATCAGACTTGCTGCTGAATTTAGAGTAATGAAAAACCTCTGGTGCTGACCACTTCACTGGAAATTTAGTTCCCAGGGAACTGACATATTGGTCATCCAGCACATACCTGCAAAGGAGAATTCACTATTTAGGCAACAGCCTGTTGCAGAGCTATAAGGGAAGTACCTTATTCTCAAGCTAAATAACTATGCTTGAGAATAAGCACCAATTTGTGGCAGAAAAGGATATGATCTTTTAAATACAAAGCTAAATACCTATGCTTGAGAATAAGCACCAATTTGTTGCAGAAAAGGATATGATCTTTTAAATACAAAAATATGAAAAAGATGAAAACATGCACCAGGCTGGCTCACCTCTGATGCTAAATGCTTTCTAAAAGTAAACAAACAAACAAACAAAAAAAGATACTGCGACCGACAGCCTCAGTCTTAGTGGCCCTTATGTGTCCATGATAGGCCAGTCAGCAGTGGAGTGAGGCAGGGAAGCCTTCACCGGGCTACTTCTGTGATTGGCGCAGCACGAATGACGACAGCCATGCACGTCACAAGCAGTAAGTGGACAGCCTGGTTCTTGGGGGGGGGGGCACTGGTCCATTCCAGACACCTATAGTGGCAATATTTGTATTCATCTCCCCCAGGGAGACGAATATAAATATCCCATCTTTGTTACAACGGGCAGGAAAAAAAAAAGATTTCATTTTTTGATGTCTCATTAATTTTTGGCTGCTATTTGTTTGTTTGACATAACTCACTTGAAAAGATTTTACATTGCTGGAAATATGGTGGGGGAGCAACATCACCTGGATACACTTCCTGCTCCTGCTCAGATAAACGAAGCCATAAACAAGACAAAAATGTACTCCATAAGCACTAAAGGGAGAAAGAGTTTGAAGAAAATATGACACACTATCAGTCCTGGTGAGGAGGAGGAGAAAAAGGAGAGAAAGAAGAAACAGCTTAGAATTGAAAGCTTCCTTCCTTCCAAGGGGGCTAGAGGCACTGTGAGTACAAACAACAGTATTAAAAGTAGGCCTGCTACATTTGCAAAAGGTGCCTAATAATAGCTCAGGGTGTCAAGAAGTTGGAACCTGTCTGCTAAATGCCAAGATAAATAAATCAACTTATCTTAAACCACCTTCTGCATTTATCCCAACATTTAAGAAGTTATGATATAATAGTTCAAAGAGTACTGTATTTAAAAAGAATGGTGTTAGAGTCCTTGCCAGAGCCAAAAGAGTTAACTATGCTTCCACTCCATCATTAGCCACAGGGATAGTTGTGAAGGAGACTAGCCTTGATAAGAAGGGTAAACTGCGGGTGAACAGCTTCTGTAAATTGGACAGGATCCAACCTAATAAACAGGATGAACTTTCAGAACTTTCAAAACTTAGGAACTATTAATGCCGAAAATAAAAAGAGTGCATAAGGAAATTCTGGCCTCTTTCCAAGATAAGGGTACACTAGATTTTGATTCTTCTGACCAGGAAGGCTTAACCCTTTTGGGTTGTTCAGACCCAATTGTGGATATCATTGGTACCACAGACAAAGATCAAAGGTGGGAAATGAAACTGAAAGAGAAAGAGAAAGAAGGGCTGGATGACAGGTTATTTCATTCACCACTGTCTAAGGAGAAGCTGATAGCAAAAACGAATACTTGCCCTGAACTGATATTAATTTCAAATCCACAATCAGAACTAAAGTTGCTAACTCAAGGCTCCCTTCTGAATCAGAACAGCTCGATAATTCCACTGAGATGAGAGAAATTTCCCCTACAGAGCCGGAATGGATGTTGGTTGAGACCTTTATTGAGGGACTAATTGAAGGACTACATGATTCAGCAAGAATACAGGCTACTGTAGATCGTGATGATGGACCAGAACTAGTATATCAGAACTCCTCAATCCTTCATGTTAGACCCAAGGGCATCAGAATATTATTCAAATTCTGCAGTGATATCTTACCAAGCTGATGCACTAGAGAGAAAACACCTGACAGATTCCCCTACTCCCCAGTCGGACTGACTTCAGATCTGACTATGAAGGAGGATGAAGGTGAAGGGAGTGCTCAGGAGGCAGCAAGTGTCATTTCAGAGGCACAATGCCGGGTACCAGACCAGCATACAAATAAAATTGCCCTCATATCATGGAATATAAATGGATGGATCAGACTCTCCCAGGACCCTGAATCAAGAGAGTATCTTTCCTCTAAGGACATTGTATTGATGCAAGAAACTTGGATCCAGGAAAAGGTGTCAATCAATGGTTTTCACTCACACTCCATCCATGCAACCTCTGGGGTAGGTCGTGGAAGATGCAAGGGAGGTTTAGGAGTGATGATTGCTGTGATGATCTGTGCTTTTATGAAATGCTAGAATGGGTTTTGTAGTCATAATATTGTCTTGACAGCATCCATCTTGATTTAAAGTCTGCTCTGTAGTAGGAAAGTTTTTCATGCTGTTTCAGAGAAGCTTCGCTCTCTGGTTATCTCGTTGCTAAGATGAGTAGAGAGCAGAGACTTTCGTAGTCAAAGTAATTCTGCCACAAAACATGATAACAACTCTCAAGCTCCCAGGAGGGGGTGTTCCTTATGAGGAATTCTGGGAAGAAGAAGGAAGTTGGTAAGAAGTTGAAAAAGATAGAGTTTGACTGAGAAAGAACAGACATGTGCTTTTTCCCAAAATGGATTATAACTTTTGGATGATGACTGCAATCTAACTTTTCCTGGTGGATCATGGACTATGGAATCACAGGAACGTAAGAATGACTATGCTTATGCATTATTCTAGTATAGAATGCTTTTAATTATTTTATTTTTCCAGCTGGAGTGGTGGGAGGGATCTGTCTGCCTTGTTATGAAAATGTTCTTAACTGAATTACTTTGCAATAATCTGAATTCTTTTCTGAACCATCCATTTTAAAATAAAACAGTAATGATTTAGAATTGCATGCATTGGTTTCTTGAACAAACTAGTCTTTCTGATTTGGCCATGTGTATTTGCTACCTGATATAGATTAGCCTGAGTGTAACTCATGGATTTGTCTGTGTGTGTTGCTTTTCTTAATAAAGGAGGTGGATTTGAGGAAGAAGTGTTAGTCAGGGCCTAGCTGAGAGTCTTGGGCTCATCTTAGCTCCTAAAGGACTGACTAAGCTTTGGAATCTCTCCATTCTCCGGCACCCCGTATCTCCACACATCCATGTGTGTAAACACAAGGCTGCTACCATCCTTCAAATAACACACAATGGCCATACTTGCCTATTTTGGACATTGGGATTTGCTAATAATAACTGTGTATTTACCCCCATCAAAAGAAGAAATCACAGACTCTAGCAATATGGACAGAATTTGAAGCTTATGTATCCGAGCTGCTTCATTCTTATCCCAACGCATATGTGATTCTGGGAGGGAACTTCAATGCTCGTATAGGCCCTAATGATCGAGCCCTATACTCTCAACATAAAGCATACCCTCCTACACCTGGCCTAAATGGACTTCCATTTAATCAGCAACCTAAAGATAGGAAAGCAAATTATGCCAGGCTCCTCCTACATCAAATGACCACCAGGCTTAACCTACACATTCTAAATGGTGCATATGGGAATGGTTACCCTGCTGAATTCACCTACCTGACAGGAACTAGAATGAGCCAAATGGACTATTTAATCATTTCATCAAATTTAATTCCATTACTGGAGAATCTGGAAGCAGCCCCAAAATTCCAAAGCGACTATCTCCCTGTCTTACTAATTATGAAAGCCCCTTTTCCTTATCTAAGGAGTGACAATCAATACCCACCCATGATACTCCCTGATGGGGGAATATACTGTCAGGCCAAATGGACCCCAAAGATGGACTTGGATCTACAGACTTTACTTGCATCTCTCACCATGCAAAGCATTAAGACATCTATAATGCACACGAGCAACCTGGTGGAAACCTATGAGGAGCTGATCTGCGGGCTAAAACAGTCTGTTACTGGTAAGGCAAAAGCAGGCTGAAACAGTCTGTTACTGGTAAGGCAAGAGCAACCCAACAATGGCACTATCCAACTTCAAAGTCATGGTTTGACAAGGAATGTGTACTAGCTAAAAAGAAGTCTTACGGAGCACCTACCAAACTTATAAATTAAGTTCGGATATGAAGGTCTCCCAAACCCTTCTGAACAAAAGTAGTCTTACGGAGCACCTACCAAACCTATAAATTAAGTTTGGATATGAAGGTCTCCCAAACCCTTCTGAAAGAGAAAAAAAAATCTATAAAAAGCTACTAGTGCAAAAGAAAAAAGAGGCCCAGAAAGAAAATTGGAAAAAATTGATTCAAGCAGCAAAATCTAAGGACTTGACTGTGTTCTGGCGGCTGATAAAGATCATTCCAACGTCTGGGCCATCATTCCCAGATTGTTATATCCACCCAGAGGCATGAGAGAAGCACTTTCGAGACTTATATAGAGATGCAGATGTGGCCCAGTTGAGATGGAATAGCACACTTGAAGATGTTCCACCATGGTCACCAGGGTCAACTTCCAAAATACACAATTTAATAGCCCAGATGAAAATGGGAAAAGCCCCTTGAGAAGATCTGATTCCTCCAGAGGCGGTCAAAAATAATTTAGAAATTTGGGCTCTGGTTCTAGCTGGTTCTACGCTATTCACGTATATTGATACTACTGGCTGAAGTCCAGAAAACTGGGGATAATAGTCCCCATATTTAAGAAGGGAAAGAGAGATGATCCTGCCAAATACAGGCCTATTAGTCTCCTTAACACAATCTGTAGATTATATACCAGGCACTTCTATGGGAAATTTAAAGACTGGCTGGAGCAGGATAAGATATTTGCAGAAGAGCAGGCAGGATTCAGGGAAGGTCAATCTACCATTGACCAATGCTTTATATTACAATATCTTATTGAAAAATATACCTCTGATAAAGCAGCCTCACTCCATGTAGTTTTTACAGATCTCAAGGCAGCTTCTGACTCAATATCAAGGGTCAATTATGGAGGAAACTAGAGGCTTCTAACATTGACAGGTATCTGCTTCAACTTATTTAGGATCTCTATAGAAATACCTCACTTAAGGTAAGATGTAGTGCTCACGGCCATCTTACTAATGGCATTCAAACTAAAAAAGGAGTCAAGCAAGGCTGCCTTCTGGCTCCGCTTTTGTTTAACTTTTACATTGATTCTATGGTGGACCATTTAAAAAATATTGACTTTCATCCCCCTAAAATCGCAAGGAGGCATATAACAACATCGCTGTATGCTGATGATGCAGCTGTTATCTCTAGGACCCCAACTGCGGTTAGAAGAGCACTGCAAAGCAATGCAGGAAGACCTAATAATTATTTTTTAAAAAAACAAAAATCATGCCTTTTGCCAAAAGGCCAGTAATGCAAACATGGATGATAAATCAGTATAGAATTGATCAGATCCACCAATTTACATATTTCGGTGTCGTTTTCCAATCATAACAGCTCTAGGAAAGCACATGGTGATTATGTGGCATTAAATGCCCAGACAAGTTCTGCTGCAATATTACAATTTATGAGAACAAAGGGGGGCATTACATTCCCACATCCATTAAATTGTTCCACACAAAAGCAGTAGCCCAACTACAGTATGGCTCCCAATTGGGCCCCTTCCCAAATATTGCAGCCCTAGAATATGTACAATCAAAATTCCTGAGGGCAATATTAGGGGTCCCCAGAGATTCTGCCAACATAAAACTACGATTGGAAACTGGTCAAATTAATATCAAAGCCAGGATGTGAATTGCAATTCTCATGTACTGGCTCAGACTGTCTTATCTCCCTATTGGTCTTGCACCATTGAATCCTGCAAGACACATTTAAGTCAAAATGAGTTCAGTTAATTGAGCAAAAAATAGCCTCTTTGGGTCTCTCTAGGTTGACTCTGTTAACCATGGGAATGGAACAGGCAAAGAAAATCATTAAGCAGCGTATTGACGACATTGAGAGACAAAATGATTTAAGCAGTGCCCCAGAATTCTACCTTAGGGAGGACAATTTATACAAGGTCACAGCAGCACCTTATTTTGCCCAGTTGGAGCAGCCCAGGTATAGTAGGGTGTTTACTCTGGCCCGGCTTAACACACTACCTTCAGCAGTGCAGGAGGGACAGTATAAACAGATCCCCTGGGCAGATCGCCTTTGCCCGTGTGGAATTGAGTGGATAGAAACAACTGAATATGTCCTGTTGTGGTGTACATATTACAAGGAAGTACGTGAAGAACTTGTTTCCCCTTTGTTTGGCCGATTTCCTGGTTGTACAGAGCAACAACGTATGCATGTGCTGCTGTCTGACTCCAATCCCATGCTTACACTTAGTATTGTCAAATTTCTTACTGCTGCAGTGGGCCTTACAAAAAGGACCCTAAAAGTGGATGAGCCTCTGTAGTTAGAGCATGGTTTGCTAGACATTTTGGAATGCTTTAGGGGAGATGTTTTGATGCCGTTGTTATTCACCTCAGATCCAATTATCGCTTTGCATTCAATCCCAATATTTTTTGTATGCTTCTGTATATTTATATATTTTGATGTTTTATTTGTGGCTGGTCTTTTGACCATAATAAAGTTCTATCTATCTACATTGTTGTTAAAGATTTGGATTGTGCCTTACCTTGTCATTCCAAAATCAGACACCTTCACGGTCAGGTCAGTATCAACTAGGCAATTTCTAGCAGCCTTCATAGAGAAGAAAAGAAATAACATGAGGGCCAAAGGGATTTTGATCAGTATCAGAACTGTTCCAGTTCCCTTTTAAAAGTCCTACGTTCTGTCTCTGCCACCTTCAATTCATAGTGGACCAACAGCACTGGGAGAAGAGATTTTTAATCCTTTCCTCTGCTTTATTTCATGATCAAAATCCTCCTTCCCCTGAACCTCTTTGTTCTGGAAGTGAGAATTATGGTAGTAACTTACGACTATTTACATCAGGGAAGGAAACCCCACACAGAAATAGATTAAGTCCCACTGCTCTTCTCACACACCTTAATACTGTTTTCTATAATACCCTCAGGGGTATTAATACAAATTAATACCCCTGAGGCTTCTGGTATATAGCTAAGAAGCCATGAATCTACCAGTATGGTGCACACTTTCATCCTTAGACCCACAACCAACTCTGTGTATGTGGGTATAATGTGGCTACTATATTGTATTAAGGTGCACCATTTTAAACTACAGTAGGGCTTCCTCTGTGGTCAGCTGAGGCAAGAGAACCCTTGTATCTCTCTGAGGTGGATTAGGATGATAGAGAATGACTGGCTCAAACTCACCCAATGAATATTGGTTCCGTGGGGACTAGAATCTGGATCTCCCAACTCTAGAGCAATGTTGTAACCACTGCATTACAGTACACTGGGTGCTTATTCATTCACACGTGACTGAACCATGCCAGACTCCTTGATATATCTACACAAAGAACCTCTGTACTAGTGGATTTAAAACAACCAAAATAGTTGATTGTTCTGTATTTTGCTTACAGTAAGCTCCTGGCTCTTCCCTTTGAATGCAAATCCAAATGAACCTTTGCTCTGAGAAAATGCCTCTGTCTTTCAACACGCTTGGCACAATTGGATTCCCAAGTGTCCCTCATGCTAACCACCTTTTGTCACCAGAGCTACCCTTGCTATGTAAAAACCTGACCTCAGGTGGCCCAGCTGTCAAAGTTCAGCATTACAAAGAAATCCTTCCCCTCCTCCTCCTCCTTACCAGATCTCGGTGTATGAACTTGTGGCTCTCAAGGAAAGCCATCGCTTCACAAACATGGTAACACATCTCCAGCAGCTGAAGGGGGTGAAGTTCTTTTCCATGGCTTTTCAAATAACTAAGCAAGCAGCCATTAGGCATGTATTCAGCCACAATATAGATGGGGTATATCTTGGTGCAGACACCGTACAATTTAACAAGTTTGGGATGATTCAGTTTCCTAAAATGAAAGAATATTTTTTTTCAGCATTTATGTTTGGTGTCTTTTGGAAGCTTGTGAAGCTCAATAAATGCAGAAGAATTAAACAGCAATAATACTTAGCTGCATGGAGCAAAAGAATTAGAAGCAAGGCTTAAAGATGTTCATGTGTCAAGGCAGCTTGTAATGTGAACATAAAACTCATATTAGAGTGTCCCAATGGCAATAAGAATTGGAGCTGAATCAATTTTAATTTTTTTTAATTGATTTATAAATTCCCAGGCACAAAATGTGAGTGTGAAATCGATTTATTAGGATTGCAAAACAGGTCTTTTTTTCAACTGGCCAGCAGAGGCTTTTTAAAATATCTCATTTCTCCATTGGTTCAATTCAGTGCAGTTTTCTGAATGTGAATGTTGCTGTCATTTTAATTTGCGCCTATGTGGATTTTGGGTGGCAGAGACACTGCTGTTTTTCCTTCAATTTTTTTAAAAAATTCTTTCTTAAAATGTTTATTGCAGTATTACTTCAGCAGTACAACCACCTACCTTGTTCTCTCCATTCAGCCAATGAAGGAGCTGGTAGAACAGCAAAAGACCGCCTAGAGTGGTCACAATCGACCAGAACTGGTAGAACAGCAAAAGACCAGCAAGTGCAGAGCAGGCATGCCTGGACATGGAGTATTGCCCGCATGCTAGGAGCATCATCCTGCAAAGCAACTGACCAGCCTGCTGATCTCAGGAGCCATTTCAGCCTGTCCAGCATCTGAGCAGCACACTGCAGGCACAGAGTGAACTCAGAGGATGGCCAGCGTGCTAGGAGTGTGGGAGGTCTGAGAGTCAGCTGACCAGCCATAGGGGATTCCCCCTGCTGGAAGCAACAGTGCCAGGTGGCTAGAGGGGTGCAAATGTCACCTGAAGACTGTCCCCCGCCTCTGGAGAAGCAACTTCTAGCAGAGGCTGAGGCTCCATCGTCAGCTCCCTTCCTGCTGAACCCGCTGGAAGTCTACCCCGCCCCAATTCCCACTTTTCCACCATTAATCAGCTGAGGCCACCTCTCCAGTGTTCCCCACGTGGTTTCTAGCAACTACAGTATTATGACATCAGGTGGTGCCTTGTAGACACTTGATTTAGCAATATATCACTTAATATTTTTTTGGAAAAAAAATAAAACAGAAAGGAAATGAGTCCGTTTCATCAGCGTAGCTGCCAAAACTGGTTTTAATTACCAGAAATAAATCGATTTAATTTCAGTCAAAGTGAACACAGCTACCAATTTATATACCACATGACTGGAGTCCAATATATATTTTTTAAAAAGTCAAAATTGGAAGCGATTCAAATTGCCAGTGAAACAACACCCTTAGTCAGTCTTCATTAACTGTCTGTCTCCTAGTTTTCATCCTGGTTTTCACCTATCAGAAACTGATGTAAACAACAAGAGAAATCTAGCACCCTTTCTGTGGAATTCCCTCCCTTTGAAGTCTTGATTGGCATCAACAATGGCCTAATTTCTGCTTCAGTTTAAAACCTGGCTGTTTACCAAAGCATTTGATGCTTAGAGGTTACAGAGTGTTCTGGATTTTGTTGGATTGTGGATTTTATTTGGGCTTATGTTGCATTCTTTCACGTTGTGTTTAAAACTTTGCAGCGTACTTTAAGTTGTGTTGTTGACCAAATCTTTCCCTGAGGTCTTCAGAACTGGGGTGGAGGTAATAAGTTATTTTAAAGAAGGAGAAGGCGCGAATGAAGAAACACAACCTCTGTTGTGCCAATGGAATTCTAATGGTACTGATAAAGCAGCTTACTCCATTGCTTATTGCCCAAACTCTGCAGACAGTAGCTTCCAAGGAAGTAAGGAGGTATGTACATATATGTTGGCAGGCACATATCGAACATAGTATCAGTGAAGGAAACCAGTTGCTTACATCATGGTTTCGGCTTCTTCTATGAATTCATCTTCAGACATTGATCCTTCCTTGATCATTTTAACAGCAACATCGTATTTCCCTTTCCATTTCCCCACGTGGACGACTCCAAACTGGCCAGTTCCTATTTCTCTCTTCAAGACAATATCCTCTCGCTTCAGCTCCCAAGGTCCTAGTTTGACAGATACAGAGAGAGAAGGTAGGTGTGTGTGCATTTATTAACTTTCTGACATGAAAGGATTTCCTTGCTTTAATTATTTTTATTTTAAATACTTCTTGTGAAGCACAACTAGACATTGGAGGCGGGAGTGGGGAGGATAGTCCTTTCATACCATTTCCCGAAGGTGATGTGGATGGAACCTTGTTTGCCTTTGCAGAGACCGCATGTCGAAGCCGTGTAACCATCCCTAAAAAGCAAGGTTCGAAAGCATGTAAATGCGAGTTGATAAATAGGGACCACCTCGGTGGGAAGGTAACAGCATTCCGTGTCTAAGTCGCACTGGCCATGTGACCACGGAAGATTGTCTTCGGACAAAACGCTGGCTCTATGGCTTGGAAACGGGGATGAGCACCGCCCCCTAGAGTCGAACACGACTGGACAAAAATTGTCAAGGGGAAACTTTACCTTTACCTTACAGTCTGAAAGCTGGTTATGTGTTATATAATTAAGGGAAGTTCACAACAATGAGACTTCAGTGTGCTTTACTGGAATCATCCAGTTTTGGTCTCATGCGAGCGGAAAAAACTACTCATGCAAATATGACTATATGAATTCTATTGCAGTGTCTTTAAAACTGTCTCTTCCATGCACTCCAAAAATAGCCTCCATTCTAGGTTTGGAAATGCTCTGTTCATTTACTGTAAGTGCCCTGTATCCACAGAACACTTCCTTGCACAGGAAACAACAGAGGGTCAGAATAGGCACGGCAATCTGGATGTCATTGCAGAATACAAAATTAAAGCCAAGCCTTCTAATGCATGAGTGAAGGAGCATGATTCGGTCTCCATAATGAGCATTCAGGGATGAGAGACATTTGCTGAATTTAAAGTAGGTCAACAACTGTAGAATTATCATTTATAATTAATATGGCAACTGTTTTCATTGAAGAAACAGCCAACAGATGAGGAGAAAGTTAAACCAGGGATTCTATAGCCCCTAGGCCAGAACACATGAACAAGGGCATAAACCCCACTGAACATAGTGAATACAGTTCCAGTCATTTTTTGCAGACTGACAAGAACCCGCCAAATGTTTAACATTAAAACAAAATGAAAATCAGCGGTGCAGCTTCCATGCCAGTTTTCCAGCATCATGGCGATCGCTTCTTTTTGGTTTCACTTTGTTTTAGCAAAATTAAAAGCTTAAAGTTGCCTTATAATTTCTCTCCAAACATACATATAAACACATCTTAATTATCTTAATTGTCCTAGAAATGTCTCTGTCTCTGTGTTATGCTTTCACAATTGAGATGTCCTTCCAGCCTAATTAGACAGCATCTGCTCATTTCCTAGCTCCCTACGTATCTGGCTAGTTAGGGTACTGTTTGTACGTCAAAGAATAAACAAGCTCTGATTCTCCAATGCTGGTGTTGCTGTGGACATTTCTTCACAGTAACGTGGCAAAGTAAATGCAAGCATTAGGAATTTCAATTGCACATAATGAAATCACTTTCATTTCCGTAATGAAAGTGATTTCATTATGGAAAAATAAACATTTTTTAAAAAATGACAAATGAATCCCCTAAATTAATGTGTCAGTTATTTAATTATAATTTTATTAAGGGGAAATTTTTGAAATGTTCAAGAAATAAGTGATGGGTTTTTAAAATAGATATATATGCAAATTATCCTCTTTGGCCATGTGCCACCTCTCTAGGCCTGCCCCCTTGGAAATTCAGCCCTCTGTTTTCCTGGTCAGTCTGAAGACTGTCCTTCTGACCACTAAGATCACCCACCCATAATACATGGCATGGTGATGACAACCCAAACGCTGCAAAAGCCATGCCAATACAACAGGGAAACAGACATGAGCGCAGCCTGTATCTATGAAACATGAAGCAAGATTACCTGCTGAATTGTGTTGGTGGTAGTGAATAAGCTTGGGAAGTGAACTGAAACAGTAATTCTCAGCCAAGTAAAACTGGTTTGCGCTGTTTACATGAACATGATAGTGTTTAACTACTCCCTTTTTATCTCTGAAAAAAAATCCACAAACACTTGTTATACTTGGAAAGTGCCAACTCATTATTTATGCTGAATAAATGATACTAGCGCAAGGAGTTCTCAACGCACTGATACTACTTTGTTTCAGTTGATCTATTATTTTCATCCAACAAAAACTAGACTTCAGATATTTTTTGCTCTCTCATAAGATAAAGTATATAAAAAGAGCAACCTGGAATTTACTTCTAGTATAAGCATATTTGAATTTGAATTCCGTGAATTCAAACTAATCAAATTAATTAAACGCACAAATTCAGATGGGAAATGAGGATAAATATATGCACAACATGATTCTCACGTATGAAGACGAGATCAAGATGGTATTAGTATCATGCACATACAGAAACGATAAAGCATTTGTCGGATGGACTATAAAGACATGGCACACTTACTTGCAGATCATGCTGAGCACTGATACAGTGTATTTCCCCACGTAACTGGAATTGCGCACCATAAATGCACCTTCTTTCCCCTTTTAACAATAATAAAAAGGAAAACATAAGAAAGGAACCTCCCTAATAAATCTAAGTGTTGGTGCTGTGGTGGTTTAATGAAATCAGGGCCAGCCCTCCTGTCAAAGGCAAAAAGAAATGGTGGGAGGCATGGAGGGGGCATGGAAGGCACCTTTGTGGAGTTTCCCTTCTATGGAAGGACAAAGCTGCACAGCCTGTTGTCCCATGGATCTGAATGAGAAAAAATGGCCTTTTAAAAATAATTCACTCCTGTTATTCATTATAGTGTTTGAAAAGTAATTCATTTCCTTTGCTCATTACAGTGGTTTTTAAAAGTACTGTAGGCTATTGCATGGTTCATTGTTTTGCTACTTTTAGTACTTTTTAATAATAGTAATAAAAAACTAAGCATGTCACAAAATCTTGAAACAACCCTGTCAAGAAACCTCCAAAAATGTCCTTTAAATTAATGTTTTTATAATAATGGGAAAGTATTGCGTGTAAATATCCCACTTCCTTAGGCTGTACACCATAGTGCAGACAGATATTGTAGGTCAGAGTCCCAAAAATTCATGGCAAATGTCCATGCTGAGTCTGTCTGTATGAGGTGAGGTAAAGTGAGCTGGGAGGTGTGGTTTCAAGTTTTCTCCTTTTTAAGCATGCTTGGAATTTTTCATCCCAAAGTCCAGATAAAAAGTTTGCTAATTATTCTGTGACTGCCCCCACACACCATCCTATTGCTTGCTCCTGAAACAAAATTTTATTTGGGTTCTGGGACACCATCCCATTGCTTGACCCTGAAACAAAATTTTATTTGGGTTCTGGGTGTGTGAGGGAGGATAGTAGAGATACAGCAACCTCTGTTAGAAGGTTGGGGCTACAATTTAATTTATCCACCAGTTAGAAGGAACCAATTAGTCAAATTAGCCCTCCCTTATCTGAAATAACATTCTGTTTTCATCAGTTTTTCCAATTCCAAAAAATCAAATAAACAGACCAGCCTCATTGTTCCAAAGTAAGCAAGTGGAAGCTTGCAGCTAAATAGCCACATAGACATTTATCAAAAGCACAGGGATATTTAACACCACCTTTTGCCGAAGGAGTTGTTCTGCCTGGGCCCTTGAGAGATTACCAGCATACCAACTGCAACAAAAGAAAAAGCTAACACATTACATTTGTAGTGTGCAATGATTTTGTGATAACATTATCTAAAAGTGGTTTAAAGAACCCCACCTATTAAAACAATCCATGAACAGAAGTAGGTTTCCCATGAAAGAGGTTAAAGTTATGGGATCTGCTTTCATTTAGTTCATGAGCTGTTACTACATAAAATTGACATATGATTTCCAAATGAATGAGAACTGTGCAAAAGATTGCAACTGAAAGCTCATGGAACAGCGGCCTCAATGATTACCAGAGCAACAGACGACTATTCCACACATTACTGTTGATAATATACTGCTAGCTTCTCTCCCTTTCTCATAATAATTCGTACTAGAAGTGGTTTGGTTTCATCAGTTCCATTCCACTGCCCCATGAGTTTCATCAGCCAAGTGGGAATTCAAACCCAGGTCTTCTGAGTCTTAGTCTGCCACTCTTTTCACTATACCACACTTGGTATATTATAATAATAGTATAGTTTTAGTTTGTCTGTTGTTGTTGTTGTTGTTTTTATTTTGTCATTTGTTAATAACACAAGACGCCAGTTTGGGGCAGCAGTCAGAGCAGGAGTAGCAGAAATTTGTCGAAACTAGATGCCAAGTTCGTTTTTTGGGAAGGTTCTTAGGTAATGTGTGTCAGCAATGAGCAGGCCTAAGGACATGGAAAACAGCCAAATTGAAAGAACTGAGGCAGGTATTCTTACCAATTCTTACTAATTCTTACCCATGTGGACTCCTTCACACCAACCAGAGCTTCAAAAGTCACTTTGAAGAACAAATAAACTAGTGGCAGGATGATGTTCTCGGATCCAGAGCATTCTCCTACTACTGTTCAGTTCTAAACAGCTTCAACATTTTATGACAGCCATTCTTCTTAGAAGTGACTTTTCTACCTCTACTACTAAGCATACAAAACACAGTTCAATTCTATGTAACATCTCAGTTTTATGTAACCCTTCCATGGGCTGTAAAGTGCCTCATCTCTGGTTGGCGATAAAAGCAAAGGAGCCTGCTAGGTATACAGGGGGGGCCAACAGGCTGAAGTCACCTATCCCAGTTAGAATAGAACTTGTGTCCAAATCCCCACTCAGCTACCCAGTTTACTGGGTGACCTTAGGCTAGTCACTTTCTCCCTTCCTAGCTTATTCAGAAGATCGCTTTGCAATGAAAAGGGGTGGTGAGGGAACTGTGTGAACCCTTTGAACAGGCGAGGAAGACCAAGATATAAATTGAATAAACATCAACAACAAGGCATAGCAAAATCTGAACAGAGATTAAATGGACAGCACGCAGTAGTAGCTGTGAGATGTAGTACACAGGTAAAACTGAATTTAAATGGCTTTTCAGAGGGCATTTGGATCAGTGCTTGGAAATCCTGTGGGCAAAACCTTCGTGGCCTGGATACTGTAATACAGCCATGATGCTTTGGGAAGCACAGGCCCAAACAAGCAGATGCAAACAATGGCTTCCTCACTCATAGCTGGCCATGCTTTCCTCCTCTTCCAATGATATCACTCCAGTTTTCTCAGTGCTTCTCCTGCAAAACATCCATTTAAAATGTTCCTTAAAATCTCCTGCAAAACAGTTTCAAAACATCCATTTAAAATGTTCCTTATCAGCTATGTCTCTCTCATCAGCCAATTTTATCAATTCCCCAAGTTTAAGAGAGACAGAGAGAAACTTTTAATTCCAAGCCAATTATAGGCTTGGACCTGACATATTCTCTCCTCTTTCAGAAGAGCCCATCCCAGTCATTCATATCCCATTCTGGTAGAAATCATTGTCCAACCCCCCCCCACACAAAATAACCCCAAACGTATTTCAGCAGTCAATGCTATCCAAATAAATTTAAAATAAGTTAAAACAAGGCATGCAACGTACAAAGCCCCCAAAGTTCAAGACTCTTGAGTCAGATCAACTACCTTTGGTGCCCAGGCTGAGGGCCAATGGTTACTGCCCTTCGAGTTGCAGCTCTAGTAGGCAAAAGTCTGAATCATCTGCTAAGCGAGGCAAAAACTTCAAAAGAGTTGCAGATGCTTCCTCCTTTTATAATTTTCTCTCTAGCTTCTCTTAATCGAATGCTGCTGTCAACAATGGCAATTTTCACCATGTTAACTCAGCCAATTTTCTACCTTCTTGGCAGTGCAGCAAATATGTTAGTTCCTTTCTTGTTATTGTGACTATTTTGTTCAGTTGTAATAGCTATTCCTTGTCACTACTGTCATTCTTATCTGCTTTATCCTATGGTTGTAACAATAATGAGTGGGTGACATGGATTGGTTTTCTCTCTGGCCTTTCTATCATAACCAATACTTAATATACCAAATATCTAAAACTCAGCTTACCATGATTCATCAGTAGTTGGGGACACCACCTTGAAATAACCACTGGGAGCTAAGCCTTCATTTCTGCAAATGAAGAACATTAAATCATTCAACCATCATTTACTTTTTAAGGCTATGAAAAGTGCTGGGAAGAAAGAAGATGCAAGATGCAAGTAAAAATTTTAGGAACAGTGTTACATAATAGTATCGTGTTGTTGCTGCTGTCACTATATGAGAATGGATGCCTCTTTTCACACATGCTAATGAAAAAGCACTGTGAGGATCAATAATATGACTGGTGAGTGATGGTGTTGTTAGCTTCCCTAATAGGGCAGCCGTCATCTTTACCAAGTAAAGTCACTCTTCCTCTGCATCTCTTAATAGATCACCGTTAAGTGAGTCAAAGAAGCAACAAGCTCAGCTGGATTATAAGATTGGCCAGCTCAAGGGTGCCTGGACAACTCAGCTCTCACAAATGAATGTGCAAATTCTCCAGCACAGTACTTTTAAATCTAAAAAGGAGCAAACGCATTCATGCCTTTTCCTCTAATATTACATTAATTGTACTGATAGACATTAGCAATTATCATTCTTATTCCCTCCATCTCATTGCCAATTACATTAGCAGTTATCATTCTTATTCCCTCCATCTCATTGCTTCTACTTCACTTTTCTCTACAAAGTCTATGTCAACATACATGGAGCTTGTTCCTTTTGTTTTCATAATAACTATGTGAGGTGGAATAGCTGATTCTGATTGAATCAAAGTCCTGATGAGTTTTATGGATGAGAAAAAGGGCCTCTGACTGAAATCCAGGGGTAAGTAAGTCACAACTGTTTGTTTGTTTAGTCGTTAAGTCATGTCCGACTCTTCGTGACCCCATGGACCAGAGCACAACAGGCCCTCTGGTCACAACTAGAGTAGGGCTATTAAATCAGTAGGGAATTTGGTGAGTCAATTCTCCTCCTTGGTTGCACTGATTCATTGGGTCTACTCTAGCAGTGCCTTACTCCTGGATTTCAGCCTGTGTCTCCCTGGTCCAGGCTCACCAACTCCCCACAAAAACTAATGCTCTCCCAAGAAGTTCAGTCAGCTCAAAATTGCCTGAATGGGCTCCTAGATGCATGTAAACAAAACAATATCATGTGGTGTTATTCTTTTAAATAGGCAGTGCAACCCAAACTCAAAGATATGACAGCTGTAGTGGGTTTGGAATGGGCAGATGCCTCTTGTGCTCGCATAGTTGCCCTCGTGCCAGCACCATCCCTTTTCACCCACCCAGTCCCCTTGGGCTGGGGCACAGTTGCCCTTGTGCCACTTTTCACCCACCCAGTCCCCTTGGGCTGGCTGACCTACCAGCACAACTGCTGTGCTGACTAAATGAAGCTGTCAGAAGAACCAAAAGAGGGCCAGAGAAGGGGAGGAGTTGAGCTATAACAGTTCAGGGCCCTTCACAGCCCAAACTCATAGCCACTGTGCCAGCACAAATGGCCAGGGTAGTGCTAAGTAATTCCCAACATCCACAGGCTTGGGGGGGGGGGGGTGCAGTTCAGGGCCCTTCACAACCCAAACTCATAGCCACTGTGCCAGCAAAATGGTCAGGGTAGTGCTAAGTAATTCCCGACATCCACAGGCTGGGAGGGGGTTATATTTAGCATGGCCTTAGCTGCCTCAGTGCCAGCTCAGCCAGCTCTTAGCCATTTTGGCTAGTTAGGACAGGGCTATTAGCATGCTGATCTTTTATTTTATTTCCTAAATTCTAAGTCCATTTTACATGGAAATGTTGGTTGATTGGGTATGCAAGTTACCTCTCAGTAATAAGAAATAATAATAATAAAAAGAAATTCCAGACTAAAAGGCAAAAGAAGTTTACCCTTCCAAATCTCTCACTTGCCACCAGTCAGGATCCTCATCTTTCAGAATATGGTATTTTTTGTTCCTGACAAGATGAACATCAGAGTTTCCCTTTGGTTCATAATCATAGATAGCCAATGCTTCTTTTAGAAATGTCTGGTCATATTTTACACATGGAAGCTGCCTTCTGTCTTCTCTGTTCTGAAAACACAGCCAGCGGTAGAAGGAAGTATATCACGCAGAAAATGTAGAAAAGAAACTACTGTATAGCTATCTCTTTGCAATTAGCAATATACATCACATTTCAAATGTTATACTTAGGTTAGATCCAGACTGAATCACACTTTGAGTAGACACATGGAAATAAGCAGGAAGTCAGCTTGACCAAACACACCACTGCTTTAGTGGTTTGTTTAAAGGGCTTCTATTTTTAAATTCAGAGTTCTTCTTAATATTGTTGCATAGCTACTTTACATTTTTATTGTTCCTTCCCTGCACACTGCTGTTGAGAATAAAGTTCATGAAAATGACTCTCTCATTTCAAAACCTATGTAGTTGGCATGGCCATCTGGCCAATTTGCATTATGGTTTATCTCAAAAGATATACTGTAGCAATGTTTGTACAAGAATCAGGGACAATAGAGTCTGTGGATCGTCATGTGTTATTCATGGAGATAAGTCATCCAATCCTCTAATGAGTTGTGTGAGCACACTCCTAGCCTTTGAAACATGATGGGAACAGGGACTGTTGGGGCAGAAGAATTATTTCTGCAAGTAATCAAAATAAACTTATCCTGGTTGTGTCACATAGAATATATGCCAATCATGAAGAAGGATTTCAAATCACCACTGGCCTGGTCCCTCTTGTCTGCATACACAGTAAAGAAAATAATTCTACCTCCCCCCCCTTCAGGGTTAAGGATGCCTGAGGAATTTATATAGCATGATTCCCCCCCCCTCTCCGACCTTTACGAATATGCACTCCATGGAACAGGAAATGAATCAGAGTCAACTTGACTCCTAAGTTGCACTTTACCAACATCTGCTGTCAAAATACATCCATATATTACATATTTCAATAACAATTATTTTCACCTATGAATATGCATGTTTGCAAACACGTAAAGAACATAAATCTATAGTTCTTGGGTTTGGCCAATAACAACTAGGCTAGAGCAGAGATGTGAGCAATATGTAACCTTCTAGATATTATTGGACTGCAAATCCTTCAAACACGGCAGCAGTCTCATAACATATGGAAGGCCTGCCCTGTTATTTAGCCGTGGGTTAAAAACTATAGCAGAAAATGATGTCTCAGGTAGTCAGGATAGAAGGAAGTGGAAGTTGCAGAAATTCAAGGGAGAGAAAGCTAAAGAGAGCAAAGAAGCAGGAAAGGAGAAGTAAGTTAGATATGAGAGGAAAGCCATGCTGAGTTGAGAAAATAGACCAAGATACAAAAAAAGGAACATCTCTATCAACAAAATGTGTTGATTATAGATAGTTCAGCTTGTCTAAATACTAAAAGTACAGTCATTCCTTTCTAGTAACATGCCTACCCCTCATAAATTAACTGGCCAGAATGGACAGCAAAGAAGCAGGAAAGGAGAAGTAAGTAAGATAGATATGAGAGGAAAACCATGCTGAGTTGAGAAAATAGACCAAGATACAAAAAAAGGAACATCTCTATCAACAAAATGTGTTGATTATAGATAGTTCAGCTTGTCTAAATACTAAAAGTACAGTCATTCCTTTCTAGTAACATGCCTACCCCTCATAAATTAACTGGCCAGAATCCTCTTGGTGTTTGTGTAGAGTCTGCATAATTTGCTGCCGCTGATCATATCTAATTGAGAAAGCACTGGGATGTATCTCAGTCATTTGCCTGGTCACACACATGATTGTGTAACCAAGATGTGCCCCAGCATATCCTCAATTAGCTCAAATTAATTGTGTCAAGTTACATAAACTTTATGGGAATTGTCATAGGATCCTGCTCCTTGCTGTATCTTCAATTAGCTCAAATTAACTGTGTCAAGTTACACAAACTTTACGTGAATTGTCATAGGATCCTGCTCCTTGCTGTAAGGTTTCTTACTTACATGTTGTCCTGGTATAGGTGGGAGTGGCTTCACTGTATTGCCGGCACTGTGTAGGCTGGAATCTACATCAAAAACAATATTAAAATGCTCCATGAAATTCAAAGTCCTGAATTTGATCCTATGAGTATGCTGTGGGTAATCTTACAGGGCATCTTTGACTATTATGGTAGGAGAACAAGAAAACAAGGGTGAAATTCATGGTGCTTTCTTGTAGAATGCAGAATCCACTTTTTTAGGATGGTGTACTAAATCTCTTGCCACTGCACTAACTGGGATTATGTGAACCCTGGAAATGGTTACAGCACATATCCCTCTTCAATTCCACCACCCCTTCACAGCTCATACTGGAAGAAGGAATGGGATTTAGTATAACACTATGTATTTAATTTCCCATTCAATCTTGCCACTGTAACACACCTGCTCAGCTTAAATACACAGCAAACTATTGTTTGCCATTACATGACTAAACCTTGGAACTAAGCACTTGCTTCTGCCTTCTTGCTCCTTCTCTCAAGACCTCCAAATACAGTCATGCAAAAAAGAGACCATCTTTGAATTCTATGATTTTATGTATCAGGACATAATAACAATAATCTGGTCCTTAGTGGGTCTGAAAATTAGATAAATACAACCTCAGATGAGCAAAATCACATGACATATTACACAGTGTCGTGATTTATTTTACAAAGCAAAAACACATGATATATTACACAGTGTTGTGATTTATTTTATAAAAATACAGCCAAAATGGAGATGCCATGGGTGAAAAACTTAGTACACCCTCACGGCTGCTAACCAAATGCCCTTGAGTAACTGTACGGCTGCTAACCAAATGCCCTTGAGTTAACTGATTATCAGCAAGTGTGAACACATCTATAAAAGCCAAGTTTTATCGAGGTTGCATTCAGGTGTGTGTTAACACAATGCCACACTCTATAAAAGCCAAGTTTTATAGAGCTTGCATTCAGGTGTGTGTTAACACAATGCCAAGGAGGAAACGCATCAGCATTGATCATAGAAAAGCAATTATTGCTGCCCCACAATCTGCGAAGGGTTGTAAGGCCATTTCCAAACATCATTCTACAGTGAGGAAGATTATACACAAGTGTGCACGATGTTATTTGCTTCTAGTATTCCAAGGTATTTATAATTTTCATCACTTGAGAGTGATTTTATAATATTGCCATTTTTTAAACTCTTTTCCATCTAGTTTTTTCCACATTGTATGGAGAGAGCTGCACATTCATCAGTTTCATTTGGATATCTTCATTAAATATTCACACTGTGTTTAGCAGTGATTCTCTGTGGAACTTTTTAAGGTTATCCATGTATAACAGAAGATTCATTCTTCCTGCTTGTTCAGAAATATAGTAGCCCAATCCAGTTTTATTCAAAATTATTGATATGGGGATTAGTGAGATATTAAACAACAGTGGTGACAAAGAATCCGCCTGAAATAATCTTCTTTTCATGCTAACTCTCCCAATTTCTTCACCATGAGCCACAAAGACAGTTTTGCATATTTCCCTGTTCTTCTTGAGGAACTTCTGAATATTTGTACTAATCCCAAAAGTTTTTAGGCAGATGTTGATCCAGCTGTGTGGCAATGAGTCAAATGCCTTGTCTATCCAGGCCATGTTAAGATTTGTTTTTTTGTCTTTTTTCATTCTTTAGTGTCATTTAATCAATAAGCAGCTAATCTTTTGTGCCTCTGAACTAAAGTTCCCTTTGTTTTCAGTTGAGGATAGGGACTATATATTATATAATTGATCTTGCAAGTACTCCTGTGAGAAGCTTGAACATTGTTGGAAGGCATGTAATTGGCCAATAATTCATTCATCGATAATTACTGGGGTCATTGTCCGTTTGATGATCTTTTATTATTTGAAATATGTGGCCTATTGTCATCCAATTTTCAGTTGTAGAATTTTCTGTGCGCATTAGGGATATAAATAAGGTTGCAAGAAAGAAGAAACGCAAAATTGTTTTTGGGTCCAATGCTTGTGCTGGATGTGGCTGATAGGAGCTGCAGTCAAACAACATTGGGAGAGCCACAAGTTGTCTAACTTCCTTTAGAGTTAGAGTCTGTCATTGTTTGCATACTTTACAGTACTGAGACCTAGTTAGCTGCTAACAATATGCTCTATAGTCTGATTCCGTTAAGTTCTTACATTCTAAGCAAGCATTGCCCAAACAAGCCTCCCCCAGTCTGGTGACCTCCAGATATATTGGTTGCTAGGTATAATGTGTGGTGGAGTAAAAAACATCTGGAAGGCACCAGATGGGGAATGCTAGTGGTGTAGTGGTTAAAGTGCAGTAATGCAGTCAAAACTCTGTACATTGTCTGGTAAGATTTCCAACAATATAATCTCTGGGTCCATCAGAAATTTGATTTTCAGATTTTTAAAGATAGAGACTTGTTAAATGTTTTAACCAAATCCCGTGCAGCTCATCTGGACCAGGCACTCCAATTTTTCACAGGCTTTACTTGCCTCTTAATCATTTCAGTTATTATTACAATATCATCCATTTGTTTTCCTTGAGTTTCTTTACAAATGTCTTTAATCGATGAGGCATTTTTGTTATGTCTGGTTGGACTTCCTAAAATTTCTTCCAAAATTTTAGAGCATCATCTTTACATGGGCCTGATTTCTTTTGCTCTGCATTAGCTCCTAGTGATTTATAGAATAATTGTTGGTTACTTCAACGTTGTGTGCTTTCTTTATATTGTTTCAGGTGTTCATCATACTTTTCCATTTTCTTTGCTGTAGTTGTTATCCATTGTTTTAACTCTTCCATGATTTCAATAATTGTTTTCCTTTCTAGGTTTCTATACTTTGCATAGCTTTTTTTTTTTTTTGCATGTATCATTATCCAATATGTCTTCATCTTTATACAAGTCCACCACATATGGTCGAAAGTGTCATCTGTCATTTTACACTTCCAGCAAGCTCCTTTGTAACTTTCAGCGAACTTTTCAATATTTTGGGATGTAATATACCACTGGTAGAACATCTTATACCAATATTCCCTTAGAGCTTGATATTGGGCTTTAACAAGCTCAGAAAAAAGGGTTTCATCCTCATCTAGCTGTACACATTAACTGGCAAACAAAACAGGGATGTTCTGTGCCCAGATCTAGGATGGACACCAATATTTGCATGTAGATGTTTTGTTTTGGAAATGCATCTGCTTACTCACATTTGTGTATAAAACCAGCAGTGTTCGAAGAACAATAGCACATTGTTTGTTCCTACTGCGCTACACACAGCCACCTTTCCCAACCAGTTGCCTGATACATCTGAACTCCTTCAGACCATCACTGAACTGCTCTCCCACAAGCACATATTCCTACACTTAAGAAACAAGCATGGCCAAGCAACTTGCTAGCCAGAAATTCTTATCGCCAGAATTCCATTTTTGTGAGTGGAATCTTTCCACATTGAAACATGTGAGCCCTACTTGAAGTCCGAAATTGGTCCAAACTAGGCACAAGTCTACCTCCCTAGTGAAAACAAAGCCTTAACATGAGCTTGCACTAAATGAAAATGACTTCTTGTCTCTGGCCCAAGAGGCCTACACCATTTCCTGTGCTCAGTGGCATGTTTATTTTATTAATCCAATAGGGATACTGTGGGAAAATGAATATTAAGTACTGTATCTGCTCAAACTACGTAAACTGAACAGCTGCACATTTTACAGATAGCACTCTTATTTTGTCCCTGGATAATTCTATGTTTTGAAATAATAAGTGGAACTTGGAAGCCTACAACCCTCTCAATGTTCCTGAATTTTAACTCTCATCAGCTCTAGGCAGGCAGAATGGCCAATGGTTGTTGTGGGTTTTTCGGGCTCTTTGGCTGTGTTCTGAAGGTTGTTCAGACGGTCAATATTCAGCTCTTCTTCTCACCTGTGTTAAACTCATGTTTTAACCTCCTGCCCAAAGTAGGATCATGACCCCATTCAAACAAACAATTTCTAAGTTGGGACCAGGGAAGGACGGACATCCCAGTCTTGCTTTCTTTAAATCTGATGTTATTTTAATCTCAAATTCATTCCACAGAATTTATTTTTTAAATTGCAAATTTTGTGAAGTTCTCATCCCCCACCCCAAAAAAGACCCCCAATAAAATTAGTGTGAGAGGCAGCAAAAAAAGGAGGAATAAATGGGCAGAATCTAGACAATTTTTTCTCTCCCGCAACCACTAATTCTCATGAAAAACAGTCTCTTTCTGGTATCTTCCTTCAAAGTGGACTCCTTTTATCATAAATAGTCTACATGCCAGAATAAAATAACCTGAATAAAATAAAATAAGGTCAAGTATCATCCTTCTTACCTACTGTTTTTTCCCCTGCAACAACTTTTTTCTACCTGTTCACATGTCTATGTGAATAACATGAACGCTTGTCCTTAATGTTCCAAAAACATGCTTAGGAGCTTTTATCGTAAATAGTCTAGATGCCAGAATAAAATAACCTATATAGGAAAGGTCAAGTATCATCCTTCTTACCTACTGTTTTTTCCCCTGCAACAACTTTTTTCTACCTGTTCACATGTCTATGTGAATAACATGAACGCTTGTCCTTAATGTTCCAAAAACATGCTTAGGAGTAGTCTGTCAGATAGGTCAGTGGTCCCCAACCTTGGGCCTCCAGATGTTCTTG